GGGTGGCCTACGAAGGCTACACAATTTCGGTGACAAATGCAGGACAAGCTCCCTGCTCTCGGGGAAGCAGTCCTCACACACCTGCTCAAATGTTTCTCCTCAGGATTTAAAACAAAGGAATCTTACAGGATAATTCCAGGACGTCGGAGCCTCCTGCGGCCAAGCACAGGTCCTTGAGGGAAGCAGGACTCGGACCTGAGGGCCCTGGGGCTCACCGGTCCGAGGAAGTGACTGCCTGGAGGACACTCCTTTCAGGGGAAGTGCATGACATGCTGTGTCTCAGGTACCGTGGTGTCCGGGCTGCTCGCCTGTTTACTGCGGGGTGAGAACAGAGATTCAAGGATTTCTCCTTTTAAGAACAGGACTGCACCCACAACAGGGTCAAAGTGCAAGACTGTGACAGGTGGTTCATACAAGACCCTCAAGGTGGCACCTGGGAGATAGGAAACACGGAGAAACAACAGACCATCTGAATGAGACGGAGGTCAGACCAAAGGAGATGCGGTGCCCATGGTGCCCTGTGTGCAATGGGACTGGTGTCAGGACCGCCATATTCTTCCCCATCTTGGAGAAGAGTGGGAACAGCAAGCCCACACCCTAATGGTTGAAGACAGTGGGCTGTGGCTGGCATGGCTGAGGCAACTTGGTTAGTAGTTTGAGATACTGCCATGCGAGAGCCTTCATCATCCGAGGCCCCCACCCACCCCCTTACCTTTTTCGTGGGGCGAGGGAGCTGTGGTTGTGTGTGCAGGGAAACTGGGCTCAGGAAGTGCCCGGAACAGAGCAAAAGCAGGAAACCCAGGAAAGGGCAAGCGTGAGGCATGAGGCATTGCTCTCCTTACCTGACACGGCTTCCCGCCCAGGTCCTGCTGAGGCCGGCGCTTCTATGCTTGAAGCTGGCATAACAGGAACTGTGGGCAAGTTTAGGAAACGAGCCTTCTCCACGTGGATTCTTTCACAGTCTTTAGTGCATCGAGCAACTGCTTCTAAGACGCACAGAGAAACGAATCGCAGACCTGCTCCTGTGTGGCACCGGGCGAGGAGCACAGCCTGGGGCCGCGTGCTCCCTTTTCTGACATCTCAAGAGCCAGCGCTCTCCGCTGCTGCAGGGATGAGCTCGCCTGCTGCCGGCGAGGGCTCCCACCTTGATGCTGCCTTTCTCAGGAGGTGACTACGTGTAAGTAGCTCACAGCTCATTACAGGCAAATCGTTACGAAACACCAGAGAGAGAGGCTGGGAATAAACCAGGTCTGTTCATTAATGTGACCCAGAAATCTTGGATTCTATTTCAGATCTTTTTGTGTGTGTCTGTGTGTATGGAATCCAGAAATCACTTCAGCCTCTGGATGCTTCAAGTTTCTCCTGAAAGGAAAGGAAGGCAAAAGGTACCCACTGCATAATGGGGCTTGGAGACTTAGTGGTGCGCTCTTGGAAAGTGGCAATGCAGTCTCCAGGAGGCAGTCATTCTCTTCCACGGTGAGTTTTTGGGGCAAAGGTACAAGAACTAAACCGACTCTCTATTCTTTCAACACTGCCAGGAAAAGCATTCTGAACACTAGAATAAAAAGAGCATGCGTCCTTTTCAAAATAAGTTTTAGAAGGAAAGGGATTTGCTATGTTTTCTTACCAGGGCTTTAAAAACAAATCACTTCTGGAGATTCTGACTCACACTGAATGAACGGCCCACAGCTGACCCTGGGCCCTTAGCACAGACCCAGACCCAGACCCAGCCTGCTGTTAAGGTTTTGGTCCCTTGTATTTTGGGGGAGAGGGAGAGTGGAGGTTTGTTATCAACAAGGTCTCCTTGCTACCTGGTTTAACTGATTAAAGGTACAATGCATATTACCTTGAAATTCACAAACTTTCATAATAAGAGGTATATTTTGATTCTTCTACAAAATTCAGGTCAGTTAGCCGTGTATGACTGCTACTATTTAAAGCACAGATTTATAGTCTGATGGTTATTTTAAAACTTAGTGCATGCTTAGAAAATAAGACTTGACAGTGGTTTGTGGTTCTGTCTCCTAAGCCCGAGTCATTGGGTATCTATTTTTATCTTTGAAAAGAGCAAAGGAGTAGTTGTGTAAATGTACCCGTGAACTAGTATTTACAGATGAGCCTCCCAGCCCGACTCCCTCCTCTGGGCAGAGTGAGGAGGTGCACAAAGACACATTACTAATGATAATTAACAGCTACATTAGCACTTTAGAGCAGGGATCCTCAAACTTTTTAAACAGGGGGCCAGTTCACTGTCCCTCAGACCGTTGGAGGGCTGGACTATAGTTAAAAAAAAAAACTATGAACAAATTCCTATGCACACTGCACATATCTTATTTTGAAGTAAAAAAACAAAATGGGAACAAATACAATATTTGTATTTGCATGTGCCCCGCGGCCGTAGTTTGAGGACCCCTGCTTTAGAGGAACTGCTCAAACCTGGTTTTAGTAACCATCCCACAGAGCAACAGAGAAGGTGTCGGTGACTGTGTAGGTGCTGTGACAGCTGCATCCTGAGTGGGTCCTCTTTAAACAAACAAGAAAAAGCAAAACACAGCCAAACCGGTTTGGCTCAGTGGATAGAGCGTCAGCCTGTGGACTGAAGGGTCCCAGGTTCAATTCCGGTCAAGGGCATGTACCTTGGTTGTGGGCACATCCCCAGTAGGGGGTGTGCAGGAGGCAGCTGGTCGATTTTCTCTCTCATGGATGTTTCTAACTCTCTATCCCTCTCCCTTCCTCTCTGTAAAAAATCAATAAAATATATTAAAAAAAAAAAAAAAAAAGCAAACACAAACTCAAACCAGCTCATCAGGAAGACAGCATACCCCTGACCTCTCAGAAAGAGCGCCGATGGTAACACCTCAGGGCACCAACCAGGGACCAAAGCAACCAGGGACCAAAGCAGCAACAGAGAGCGGCAGTTTCTGCACACAGCAATTGATTTTTTTTTTCAGTTTCTGCACACAGCAATTGATTTTTTTTTTCAGTTTCTGCACACAGCAATTGATTTTTTTTTTCAGTTTCTGCACACAAGCAATTGACTTTTTTTTTGATCTGCAAAATTTTATTAAGCAATAGCTGGACAACTCTTACAACTTCAAATCATCAAGAAAAAATAAGGAGATTAATCCATCTCAATAAAGACAGAAAATAACTTGGACAAATCACACCATTTGGAATGCAAACCATGAATGCCTTCTAGAACACCTCCCTCACAATCTAATACACAAAATACCTAAGAAGAGAGGCAAATCAGGTGAGCTCTTTAGAATGCAATTGATAATCTCAACATATATTGCTTGGAAAGTAACACAAAGCAGGGTGCTGAACTGAAAGCAAACCAACACCACGGAACCGAGGTGCATGGGGCAGTGCACCATTCCCGAGGTTTGGACAAGAACATGCTGGTGGTCTGGTTTGGTCTGGGACCTGTGCACCTGCATCGTGCATTTACAGTTAAAAAAAAAAAAAAGGAGAAAGAAAATGACAGTAGTAATAAACTCAGAAATTATGTCCAAATTTACAGTACCAAAGTAATGCATTTATAAACAAATGCAAAAACAACACCCCTTTGGTAAAGAATACAGTGCCTTTTTCAGTCAAACACGTAACCCATGCTTTTCTACAACACGAAAAAAATTTTTTATCTACAATAAACGAGATCATAGAACCCTATCCCTCCCCTTTAAAAGAACTTGTAAACAGAAAATATAGGTACAAGTGAAGTTACAAGAAAATTGCACAGAGCCGAAGAAATGAAAACAAAATAAGCCACAACCCTTCAGAGTTTTATCAGCCAAAGATAAGAAAATACACGAATGGTGAAGAGTTTTGAGATGTGTGCTATTACAAAATCCCAGGAACTCAAACAACATTTTTGACACATTTTGTCTCAACTAACTTTGTTCACAACCGTTGACTTGGCCAAGTGATGGATGGTCCACACAGGAACACAATGGGCTGTTTTCCCAGAAACCTGAACTTGAACACTGCAGAGCACACTCAAGAATTCAAGAGGGCCTAGGCCTACACTCCTGTCTTTTTTTTCCGATGTACTTGATGGTCTTTGGGGCAAGTGGTGATTTATTTTAGGGCTGTTCCCAAGGGCGGCCACTGAGCAAGGTGGACTCAAGGGGAGGTTCCTGTCTTATCTGGAATTGGTGCTTTTGTGTAATTTTATGAAAAGTGCGTTTTTCTAGAGGTGAATCTTCAAAAGATATTACTTAAAATGCCCTGATTTACATTCAGTAGATAGCTCATTAACATGGACAAGAAATATCTCTACAGAACGGCAATGTTCTGAAACATACCCTCCGAATATGTAAAGTGGAGTGAACTCATTTTGAGCTCTTAGCTGTTAGAGTTGGACAGGAGTTTAGATTGCCCAGCTCATCCCTTTCATTTTACAGATGGACAAGTGGAGGTCCAAGGTCACCCTCCAACTTTGTGGCGGATCAGGTTTGATCCTGGGTCTCCTGACTTTCTGCTCTGATTACAGGATAAATGTACGAGTTTTCACATGTCCCCGTGGGACACTCAACAAGGGAGCAATGGCCTTGGAGGAAAAATACTAACCTGCATGATCCAGACATCTACTACCATTCGAGCTTTGACATTCTCTGCCTCCTTTACATCAATTTTTTTCAAAATTTACATTCAGTGGATGGACTGTATAAAAATCTATGCCTTTGGTTTGATGAGGCTAGAGTTAAGACAAATTTAAAATTTTGTTTGTTTGTTAATACACTACTTTCCTCAAAAAGGCATGGATTTTTATGTAGTTGACTGTTTACTGGGCTAATCCTATATAATAAAAGCCTAATATGCTAAGTGTTCAGTCATCCGGTTGTCCGTTCAACCAATCAAAGTGTAATATGCTAATGATACTAGTATACTAAGGCCACTCAACCGCTCGCTATGATGTGCACTGACCACTAGGGGGCAGATGCTGCTGGGGTCCGGCCAATCGGGACTGAGCGAGACGGGCTGGACATGCCCTGGAGCCCTCCCGCGGTCCCTCCCCGGCTAGCCAACCTCCCGTGTTCCTCCCTGACCCGATCGTGCACTGGTGGGGTCCCTTGGCCTAGCCTGCACCCTCTTGCAATCCGGGACCCCTCGGGGGATGTAGGAGAGCCAATTTCGGCTCAATCCTGTAGGCTAGGCTGAGGGACCCCACTGGTGCACGAATTCATGCACCAGGCCTCTAGTATTTTTATGTGTAGGGATTCAATGAGGTATCTTAATATTCATAAATTGCTACCAATAAACATAAAGTATGTAGAATTCTGCTGCTTAAAGTACTGCCTTTAGTAGCGCTTAACAAATTGAGAATGACTGAATGAAAACTATTTTTAAAATAAGTGAAGGCATCACCATTAGCTTAGAAGACAGAACACTGCTGCAGACATCTGTTTAAGTAGACCTGGCACCTGAAATTACCTGCTCCTGGGACGGGTGAGCAGAGCAGCGCTAATTCAGAGGCTCACTACGTGTGCAAAACATCCAGGACGAGGCCTGTCTCCAAGTGGGGAAAATGCCTTTTGGGGAGTGGTCAAAGAATTAAGAAGTTTAGTTAATTATTTGCTACAATACATTCTCTTTACACATGTATTTGTAGCATCAATTCCAAGGATTTCCCCCAATATTTCCTCTTAAGAGAAGTTCTAAAAAGTAGCCCCTTTCATGGTCTTTATAGCTCAAAAACCGATCAGAACTTTTAAAACTTATTACTAATAATCCCTTCCTTTGCCACCTACTCTAATCTTAAAAAGTCTCTTTTCATTTCATATCACCTTTTATTTTTAATTAAAAATAAAATTTTCAAAAGAAGGGGAAATATTTTAGGATATGTTATCTCATATGTAATCACTACCTCAAAAAGCAAAGAAAAAATTACTCTTACAGGATTAATAGAAATGTTTTTCCCAATTAGAAAAAGTTACAAACTGTCCAGCAAACCCCCCATCATATCTTCTTTATTTCTTGCAGCAAAATATACTGCTACCAAGTAAGTCGTTACATTCTGTTTTTCTAAGTAAATTATAAAATGGGCATAACTCACCAGTAAATAGTAGTGGTTTCTAGGAACACTATTAAAGCAGGATAAATAATGATCTCTTGGGCAATAAAACAGAAAATTGCATTTAAATTATTCTAGAAATAGGCTATAACCACATTGCACAGCTAATAACCGCTGAAACATCATACCAAGCTACAAAAACTCATATAAAAGAATTAGATAAATCTGAACACATGACTAAATTCTTTTTGGAAGAATTTAGCCACAAAAGAATCAGGTTCAGGTCCACTGTTTTGAAATGTCAGGTGGAACTAGCTGGGAGACGCCCTTCGCCATATTTAAAACCTTATCTGTGTTTCTTTGGGGCTGGAGAGGATGGTGCATGATGGATGCCATCTTGTTCTGGGAAAGGAATGGGACAGTTTCTTTTCTAATTTTTAAACCAAAACAGGGAATTAAGAACATATTTCAAAACTAAAACATGGAATTAAAATTTTTTTTAAAAAATAATTTTTTGTAGTTTTCCACTTTTCTGTTTTCAAACAAAATCCAAACATAGGATAGTTCTTGTGCTCCTGCCCTAAACACCTCACAGATACAAACAGCTGAGAACAATGCACTGGGTCTTGTCACCAGGGCTGAATGCTGCCCAGGGCGTCCGCTGAGGACGGGGTGAGGTGGGAAAAGATAATCTCAGTGGATTTTTCTTCTGCAATTACCCAGCACCTGCCTTAAATACTACAATTTTACCCATGCTGCCCCAGAGGTTCATCTCTATAAATAGTCTGCACAGTTAATAAACAACTGTTTTCCTGGAGCAGATGGTGGGACTTCTGGGCAAGAGATGACCACAACTCTGCCTCTTGATACCCTGGCAAACGCTTAAACATTTTTGCTTACATTTCTAACCTGTTGAAACACAATTCTAGTCAACTGAATTTTAATGTAGCTGAAAGAGGAAAGGAGCGCTTTCAAATCAGCATCGTTAGCATTTTTAGAGAAAGAAAGTGTAGAATAGTGTTGTCTGATGGGAAGGATAACGTCTACTGTCACATTTCAGAGTCAACAATAAAAGAGAGGGAGTAAATGTTACTTCTCAGCCAGAGGGTGCCCAGTGACTCCCGACTCCAGCTGAGAAAACTACAGCCCCCACCGCACCCTGGGACCTGGCCACGTTTCTCTCCTACCTTCTCCTCAAACCAGTCAGACTGAACCCATGGAATTACGACAAATTATAAAACTTAGTGGAGTCTTCATGTCAGCATCCTCCAGAGAGGAGCAGAGCCCTTGTACTATTTCAAGTCACACTACGGAGCTCGCCATGCGTGCACGTGCGGGATTTTCCTCCTCGCCCGTCACCCCTTCCCCCGCACCATCAGGAGCATATCTTACTCATACCTGGTAATAGCGCCCCTGTAGAAAGCCTATTTTTATTAGTCAAACAGTGTGTTTGCCAAAATACCCTTCATTGATCAAGTCAACTTTAGGGGAGTAACATTAACATGTGTGAATTAAATGTTGTCCCTCCAGAGAACCTGTACCTTCAGGGTTTTGGGTGTGTTTTTTTAAAAAAGAGTTTTGATTGTACACTAGTGATGTTGTGGAGAATGAGAAGAATGCACACCCCGTATGTCTCAAAGAACAGCAGGCTATAATGCAGTCTGTCTTCCTTCCGAAGGACCCGTTTGTGTAGCTGACATGAGCAAGCCCAGTGGGACATTACCACAATCAATTATGTTTCCAAAAAAACACCAGGTGCCTGGTATCTTTGCTTCCAAACACCTCTCTTCTGTATTATTTTGTTTGATTAAAAAGAAAGACAATAAAGAATAATAAAAGCCCAAACAAACGACAACGCTAACGGTCGGTGCCCTCTCCTGGGCCTGAGAGACTTTTCCAGTTTGCTCTTGTCTTCTGGGCCCCAGGCACCCAGCCCCTTGCGGGCTCCTCTACCATTTGTGATCAGGCCTCTCTGAAAAGGCTCCTCTGTCTCTTTCTGCTCCCCAAGCCAGTCTCTTCATTTGAGGCGCTGCGTCACGTTGGCCAGGGCCACCGCGAAGGCCTGCACAGCTGAGAAGGGGTACTGGAAGTCCAGAATGTATGCATTGCCATCGATCCTTCCAAACTGCATCACCTGGAGGGAGGGCATCGAAGCAAAGACATTATAAGAAAACAAGGTGGAACAGGGCAATCAGGCCAGAGCGGCTCGTGATGGAGGCAGACAGCACAGTCTAGGACAGTGGTTCTCAACCTTCTGGCCCTTTAAATACAGTTCCTCATGTTGTGACCCAACCATAAAATTATTTTCATTGCTGTAATGAAACTTCATAACTGTAATGTTGCCACTGTTATGAATCATCATGTAAGTATCTGATATGCAGGATGGTCTTAGGCGACCCCTGTGAAAGGGTCGTTTGACCACCAAAGGGGTCGCGACCCACAGGTTGAGAACCGCTGGTCTAGGAGTTATTTTTGCCAACAAAAGTGACTCTGGGAGGCTTCTAATTCTAACTATGAATTTGTCAGAAACAAAGGAATGGAGGAATATATTAAACAATGCAGCGGGGAGACAGGGAGCAAAATTCAGGGCGTGGGAAGCTCCACAGGTCAAATGAAGCGGTTTCCTCACCAAGGAGACAGATAGGAGAAAGCAGAAAGAAGAATCTATAAGCTGAAAGAGGCTTAAGAGGAACATCAACTGTCATTGTCAAATGTCACTGCTCAGAGAGGGACAAACACAGCACACCTCCTTCCCATCATGCTCACCTCCCCAGCCTGCTTTCCTTTGTCATTTCAGTACTTGCTGTGACCATCACATAACTGTCACATTACATGCTTTTTATTTGTGGTCTTTCTTCCATTTTTGTAGACTCCATGAGGCCAGGGCCTTTCTGTTGACCTCACTGCTTTCATTTCTGTACTCAGAGCAGTTAGAAATGTATTTATGAAAACAGGAAGCCATCCAGATTGGCCCGTGGGCCAGTTTGCCAGCTCCCTGCTCGGAAGCTTGCCAGGCATATAGCAGGTGCTCAATAAATATTCGTTGGGTGAATGAATGAAAATGGGATTTAAACATGAGAAGTGAAGGGAATTCCCAGGATAGTAGAGGAGGGTAGTCCCAGCACAACAGCTATGCCGCAGGGCTAGAGCCAGCATTCTGGGTTGGAGCAGAAAGAACTGACAAATTACCCACCGAGTTTAACTGTACTGAGAGGAGATTTACATCCTGCCACAGGACTGGGGAATGACTTAGCAATAAATACATAGAGAAATAAGCCAAACACAACTGGGTAATTATTATGTCTAGAAAAAAAGCCTATACGATAAAAAAGGCAAATGTAACTAAACCCTACTATGTGGCTCAGCTGTGAAACATTTACTGGCATAATAAGGTGACAGGTGACTACTGATTTAACTAAGAAAAGCCAAGGGTCCGAGGGGGGAGAGAACTGGCCCCCATCTAAGCGGGTCAGTTGGTTTCCACATTTCACGGGTGGCCTTTGGAAAATGATCCTCAAAGGCCAAAGCACCGAGACCCCTCACCTGGTTTTAAAAACCCAGAGAAGCCTCGATTCCAGCCAGGCCCGGGGGCACCCTTACCTGCCGCCCCTCCAGCTCGATCTGGAAGTTCTTGGCCGACTCCTGGGTCACGCGCCCGCCGAAGTCCAGCTGGTACACCTGGGTGGCCTCGTTCCAGAGAGGCTGCTTGTTGGCCATCACGTACACGAAGCCCTGGCTGCCCAGCCGCCCGTCCTCCCTCTCGCTGGCTTTCCGGCACTTGAACTCGTCCAGCTCGCTGGCTGTGCGCAGGCTCCGCTTGCTCTTCCAGCCCTTCTTGCTGCCCTGGCTCTGGTTCATCAGCTCGTCCCCGCTGATGAACAGCTCTGGCTCACTCTCCGAGCTGTCCTGGAACTCGTTCGTCTTATTCAACTTCTTCGACTTCAGCTGGTCTTTCTGACTCTTCACTTTCTTTTTCTCTCTCCCCAGGCGGGGGCTGGAGATCAGGGAATTAAAGTCACTCAGAGTCCGCGCCTCCTTCTTCACTTTGCCCTCGGTGATGGCCTGGACATTCCCTTCCTCCGCTCGGCTGTCCAGGCGCTTCCGGTTCTTTTTCCCGAATTTCTCTGTCCGCTGGGGGACTGGGCTTTCCGTCAGAGAGAGGACCTCCTGGAAGTTGTCTGAGGCCTCTGCCATCACCTCTGTACCCAGGTGGCTTTGGAGGTCGCTGGGTGGTGGTGGGGACACCAGGGGCTTCTCCACCACCAAGTGTGCCTTGGGGGGGAGAGTGCCCTGGGGGTTCTGCATGGGCGGGCACGCGCTGTAGGAATTCCAGGGGTGCAAGGCGATGGATGGCAGCTGTAAACTTGAGCACGTGCTGCTTCCGGGGTACATGGGGGGCAAGGTGCAGTAGGACAGGCTGGAAGGGTAGGCCGGCTGCAGGACCACAGCGGGCTCCTGCTGTGCAAACTGTGTTGGGGACAGGGAATCTTTTGAGCAGGGAGCCTGAACTCCTGGCAAAGGGGGGTTATAGCTTCCTGGATACGGCACTCCCATCCCATAGCCCGTCTGGAAAGTGGCAGTAGGGCTGGTGGGAGACTTGGGGGAGATAAAGGGCACTCGGGACACGTCCAGGTGCTGGCTCTGACCTACGACCAGGGGGGGCAGTTTCAGGGGGTTGGGCCCTCCAGTCTGTGCTGTCCTTTCCTGAGGCACCCAAATGTCCTCCCCCAGCACAGGGTCCCACTGGTAAGGGGGTGGCCGTTTTACGGGCACAGCAGCTTCAGGCAGTGGGGTGTGCCGCAGCGGCTTTTCCACCGGACAGTGCTGGGCCAGCGCCTCATCCTCGGTGAAGGCTGAGTTGACATAGTCGGTGCGCTCACGGGCACCCTCGGGCGGGCTCAGGAGGCTGTAGGAGGACTGCGAGGCCAGCGGGGAGGTGCTGGCCGCCTGTGCACCCCCTGCGCCGGCCACACCCCCTCCACTGCACTGACTGCAGGTGTAGAGGGCTGCCGGGGGCCGCAAGGGGAACTGTGCTGTGCCCTTGGGCTTGGCCGGGTGCGGGTGCTGCAGCGGCAGGTGCACCCGCGGGGGCTCAGCAGGCGCCGCCGCCTTGAGCACCACCTCGCGGTTATTCCTGCGCAGCGTGGCGTGAATGAGGCCTCCGTCCAGTCGCTGCGCTGAGACCCGGCTGGAGGCCAGCGGGCCTGCCAGGTCGGGATAGGGAGGCGGGTCTCCCGTGGGGATGGAGTAGCGCGGGACCGTCAGGCGGTTCAGGGTGGCGCTGGTGCAGGGCTGAGGCACCTTCTTCTCGGTGGCAGTGACCCTCAGGGTGGCCGCGCTGCCTGGGCCGGGGAGGGTGTAGGTGTTCTGAGAGCAGAGCATCCGCGTCCGAGGCCGGCACACCTCCTCCACGTTGCCGCTGCTGTCGAAGGTGGTGATCCTCTCGTAGCCCAGGGGCGGCTGGTAATGCACGGCCGTGGGGTACAGCGAGAAGTCGCCCTTCTTCAAGCACACATCCACAGGGGGCTGCGGGGGCGGGGGCGGGGGCGGCGGCGGGGCAGTGGTGGGGGCGGCAGGGATGGTGCCTGGGTAGGGCGGTGGGGGGTTCAGCTTTGCCACCTGGATCTCCTGGGGGGCGCCGAACACCACGGCGTCCCCCTCAGCAGCCAGCTGCGGCCTCAGCGCCTTGGCGGGCTTCTGCAGGTGCTCGTGCTCGCGGTCTCCGTGCTCCACCACCGACAGCTGGACGGGCCCCTGTGCAGGCGGCAGCAGGGACAGCTGCGGGGGGTTCGGGATGAGACGGCCCATCTCTACGCCCCCGAAGATCACCTGTCCAGGGCTGGAGTAGCGGTTGGAGACCGGGTACTGGGTGGCATTCTCACTGGCATGCTCAGCTGCGCCCATGGCCGTGGTCTGATTGGTCAGGACGTCCAGCTGCACGTTCTGATTGGCCAGCAGGGACTGTACCAGCCCGATGCTCTGCGTGGGGGACATGGCTTGCGCTGAGCTGTGGATGGGTGCGATAGGGATGTTCACGGTACAAGGTGGGTTGTTCTCAGGCACGCCAGATGCTCCCGTCACTGGAAGGAAGTGAGAAAAACAAGCTGCTCACAAATAGTACCATGGAACTGGGTCGGAATAAGTAACACCTCTCAATTCATCCAGACCTTTGTCTACAAATGCAATTAGACAGACATGCTTTTGCTGGGGGAAAGCTGATCTGTTCATACAAGTTACATGAAGCTTCTCTGGTGTTTCTGGAAGGGCACCAGGCCACTGGTAGGTCCTGTAGGCAGCCTGTCCTCACCCATTAGCTAAAGGCACTGGCAGGGCTTTTCAAAGACTACACTTTTGAACCTTCTCAATTTGGCACCACGTGCTCAAATGGTACCATGGCAAATACTTGTTTAAAGACGCTTTGTACTCATGATAATCCGAGGAGGTTTCTCCATGGGTCTTGGTCAATGTGGAATGTGCCTGTAGCAAACAGCAGACGTGTATCTGAAATTTCTATGTAAATTAAGTTCCTGTAATAGAACATGTAAAATGGAGTACAGAAACCAATAAAAAAACACACAGCAAATCTTCGTATTAGGGGAAGGCTCATTTCCTAATTTATCTGCTGTTTAGCATTTCAAACAATATGTAAGGTTGGGGTTAGCATATCCTGTCTGTGAGTGGTGAGAACTTAGGGTACACACTTGAGCAATGACCGGCAGATACTGGCAGGTGCCCAGAGCACCCATTCTGTCTGCCCTGTCTAAAGTGGCTGTGAGCAACTTTGCTTACCTGGGCCTCCCTGAGTGCTGTGCGCCAACCAGAATGAGCAGGAAATAGAATTTAAAGGGTCACTGTAAAGGCTGGTGGCCTTTCACCAGAATTACAGAATGAAGCCAGTTGGTTCATCAAAAGCTAAGCCCACCTTGGTTCCTGTAAGAGATGGCCCCTCCCTGAGGTAGTCCTCTAGTGAGATGTAACTCTCGCCTGGCTGCAGGGGTCGGGGTCCTGTCTCAAGTTTCCTATTGTCCCTCTTCAAACCCCTCCTCCAGATGTTCTTTCATCTGTATGGAATACTGTGGGCAGGCATCGTCCCTGCTAAAGGGGAGTCTCTTTGCCATGTCACCAGCATTAAATATAAGTCCTGAGGCAAAATGTTCCCTCCTCTCACTGGGAACCACAGCAGCAGAAAGGGCTGAGCATCAGAGAGCAGGGAGGACGTTCGGGGGACTGAGAGAGACTTCTAAACCCCACATTCTGAAACAGCAGGGGACGTGCCAGGAAGCGCAAGCTGTGGGGCCTCCGCACACTGCAGGTGAGTGTGGCTGCAAGCCCCGCTATTGGGACTGTGGCCATCCAGAACATGGGCTCCACCTCGGACGGCTCCTGTCAGAAAGCACAGGTCACTTTACAGTAAAAACCTGGGCTGAGAGAAGGTCAACCACTCCCCCAGTTCAGAGCCGAGGCGGATGCCTGTCCCTCTCCGCTCCACCACGAGGACCCGCTGTTCGAGAACGACCAGATTCGGAGAATGTGGAGTTTCTTCTGGCTCAGAAACCAGAGACGTTCAGACCCTGCTTGGATATACGTAGAGGAGTCTCTATAGCGTTTATAACATTGAAGGTGGATTTTTTTGAGAATAGTTACATACAAATAATTGGCAGACTAATTAGAAATCATAATCTATTAACCAAAATAGGATCTCCCAGTAGAAAATACTACAGTGGGGCCTTGACTTACGAGTTTAATTCGTCCCATGACGGAGCTCGTAACTCAAATTACTCGTATGTCAAATCAACAGTGAACGAGTGAGACACGTGATGCTGGGCTGATGTTGTGGCGTTCACTGTGACGTTCGCTGTGTCAACTAGCGGTGGGGTATCTGAAGCTGGCTCATAACCCGAATTTTAGCTCGCAACTCAAAGCAAAAAATCTGCCAAGAGACGGCTCATATCTCGAAAAACTCGTTAGTTGGGACACTCGTAAGTCAAGGCCCCACTGTATAGACATTTGAAAATGTATAAGCTGGATGGTGTATGTGACTGACCCATTAGGGCCTCTACATGAACTCTGAAGATTCTGGCAGTGGGAGTGGAACCTGCCAGTCTTACAGCCGCCAAGGTAAGCCTTGTAAGTCCCCTCGCTCATTAAAACTGCCACCGACCCATCTGGAGTGGCCTGCCTTTCTACGGTCTCTCTCTGCCCTCCAGGTAAGGGGCCGTTTTCAGATCCTCCCCGAGAGGCTCCCAAGGAGGTCCTTTCACAACCCACTGGGAGAGGGCTCCTGACAACTAGGTGTCCTGTGTGAGCACACCTGGTAAGTCGTCTTCGTCTTCACTGAACACATTGGGGTTGAAGACAGGCAGGTTCACGTAGTCCATGGAAACCTTCCGGATCTCCGGGAGATAGATGGTCATCTGCCGCGGCTGGAGGTGCAGGAGGCTGGTTTTATAGATTACTGGTGGGAGGAGAGGAGACAGTCAGTAGAGACATAAGGACGACAGCCAAGGCACCAACAGGGTCACAGCCAGAGAAAGGGCGGGGGAGGGGAGACCCCTGCCGTCCACAGACGGTCTGCACACGCAGGCCAGCCTGAGAGCAGCTCTCCATCTCTCCGGGGCACAACCAGCCACCCAGCCAGTCTGGGTTCACGGACACCACATTTTTGGTCTCGCCCAACCCCTTTGTCAATAGTTTGTCTACAGAACCACACATTTAGAATGTTAACAACCTACCTGAGACTTAAATTCTTTTTTTTGGAGTGAGCTGGGGTTATGACAGATATTTTTATTTATTTATTTATTTTTTAAAAATATTTTTATTGATTTCAGAGAGGAAGAAAGCGGGAGAGGGAGAGATAGAAACATCAATGATGAGAGAGAATCATTGATTGGCTGCCTCCTGCACACCCCCCACTGGGGATCAAGCCTGTAACCCAGGCATGTGCCCTTGACTGGAACTGAACCCGGGACCCTTCAGTCCACAGGCCGACGCTCTATCCACTGAGCCAAACCAGGTAGGGCAGGACAGATATTTTTAAAAAGCTTACTTGTAATTGGAAAAATGACTTAGTGAAAATAGTTGTGATAACCAGGCTGCCAAGCTCAGGACAAACTTGGGCAACCACGCAGCTGTTTGAGAGCGGCTATGAGATGATAAGGGGTGACGTGCATCAGGTAGAAATAAAATGCTGCCTTTATTCAGGACTGGATTCTTGTCTTAATAACTTTCAATTTCATGATCGTATAGAGATTTATCAGGAACTTCCACACGGTTTCTTTAAACTCTAAGATTAATTTAATTAACAGAGATATTTAAGAGAAAGCCAAATTGCAACTAAAATATTTAGGAGAGACAAAATAAGTTAAAAAAAATAATGAATCTGGCCTTGGCTGGGTGGTTCACTTGGTAGGAGCATCATCCTAATGTGCCATGGTTGGGGGTTCGCTCCTGTGTCAGGGCACATACCAGAGTCAACCAATAAACGCACGGATGGATGGAGCAACAAATCGATGTTTCTCTCTCAAATCAATAAATTAAAAAAAAATAAAAATGAATCTGTAGGTTAAAATCAGGATGAAATTGCCTGTCAACTCTGTTTAATACTACTTCCTGTGGCCTACTATTTACTACTATTGTTCATTTTTTTTCGTTTGTTCCACCTCCACAGCTATCACCTGCCCTGGCCTGGTGGCTGACTGGCCAGCACTCCCATGGCACAGCAGGCCTTCTTTTTGAAGTTCCTTTGTAAGGCTGGTGCTTGGACTGGCGCTGGCTGAGATGACTCTCCAATCCAGTGGTCATTACAGGGTTATTCACGTGTTCCTCTCATGAAAGGATATTGACTTCTTACTTAGAAATGACATCTTTGAAGATTCACCACTAAGCTGCGCTCACAGTCAGCCAGCTGCTTCTTATAGTCTAATGCTTTCTTCAAGGACTTAAAGATACTGGTACCAAAACCTGCTCACAGTGAATGGCCAGAAATAAAAACAAAAACAAAAACAAAAACAAAAACAAAAACAAAAACGGAAGTCTATAAAAAATCTGAGATCTTTGATAGAGATTTCAGCTATTTCTGTCATTTTTATAAGTTAGGGATGATTTTGTTGTTAATTCTCACCAGAGAATATTTTTCCCATTGATTTTTCAGAGAGAGTGGAAGGAAGGGTGGGAGGGAGGGGGAGAAAGAGAGGGAGAGAAACATCCATGTGAGAGAGAGACGTTGATTGGCTGCCTCCCTCATGCACCCTGATGGAAGGCAGGGATCGAACCTGCAACCCAGGTACTTCTCCTTAACTGGGAATCGAACCTGAGACCCTTTGGAATACAGGCCGGTGCTCTAACCACAGAGAACACCAGCCAGGGCAGGGATGATATTTTAAAAAATGAAAGCACCACTGGCAAAAACCAATCTGAGTGATTATTCTGATTTTTTGTGATATCATAGTAGCTGTAGTCGAAGTTTCATGCTAATCTTTCGATGTCATATGAGCTCATTTTCTATTGTAGCCCACTGAAAACTGACTTTGTTTTTTCAGTCTGAGTTTCAACCAGGACATGGGGCCAAACACAGGACATGGTTTTACCTGCACCGAGGTTCGTTGGCAGGAAAGCAGCCAAGCCCACAATCTTAAACTTGGTTCCCCAGATATTAGACGTGACCTGAGCAAGATAGTTGTGCTGTGGAAGAGAAGAGGGAAGAAACTTACTGTCTATCGCCACATTTCCTACCAATGAGAATGCTGACACTGCTGAGAAGGCCACAGGTGCTCCCACGGAAACGCTCCTCCCCCACTTCGCCCACCACTGAGGAGAGCAGGAGCCAGCGCAGCCGGCCAGCCCTGGTTTAAAGAGGCAGACAGGTCCCAGTGTGTCTGCGTGGGTGTCAGACCACAGGCCACCAGTGGGATTTGGGCACATTCACCTTCACCTCGCCTTTCCGCAGTCACTGAACTAGAGACGGTACCTGGCTCTGAATCCATTTTTATCTCTGATGTTTCTTCTAAAAACATCAGCTGCCCTGACCCTTCCTGAAACTATCCCATGATCTGTTTTCTCAGTCAGTGAAGTTAAAAATAATTAAAAGTTATCTCTGTTCACCCTGCTTAAAGCAATTGATGCATAACTATCTCTGTCTAGCACAATTCCATAGCTAGGCAGAGACGCTTGGCCTCAAACATGGTTTTTTGAGTATTGTAAAAGTTCAGCTAACTACTTGTGTGATAACATAAACAAAAAAAAAGTTATCTCTGTGCCTAGCCATGCCTGCGTGTGCGTGTATCCAAAGGCAACGAACTGTCTACACACAGCTTCCCACAGAGCCCGTGCCCTGATGACAGGGAGTTCTGAACCAGAGGCTCTGCAGTCACTGAGGCTGAGCCAGGCAGGGGAAAGCCTTCCCGAGGAGGGGGAGGTAGGTCTGGGAGTGCGCAGGGTCCTGGTGGCCAAGGCAGAGCCAAGGCACAAAGGCGGGAAGAGGCAGGTGTGGCTGTGTCATCTGGGGAGTGAGGGGGAAGCGTCTAAGGTTGCAAGGACGTCCTGTGGGAGGTGGAGCAGAGTAATGGGCCTGCCTGAAGGCAGGGGTGGTGAGGAGGACCCATGGGGCTCTCATGATCTAACTGGTGTCTGGAGTCGTAGGGACAGGCCTGGGGCGGGGGTAGCGAGGGCCTGGCCATCACCGAGCCCACACTGGGGAGGGGAAAGAGCTGGGCGCATCAGGTACATGTGACCCACCCGGAACCCAGACACTACCTGAGTGATGTCTTCAAAGGGAAACTCTCTTCGCGTCAGGCTGGGCGAGCCAATGGAGGGCTTGCGCATGGGCAACCGAGGGGACCTGGACATCTCCTGAGCGGCCCGGGACAACTTGGGTGACTTCCGAGCCTCGATGTTGATCCTGCAGAGGCGAGGCGGGGGGTGAGGCGCCCACTGCACGGGAGGCGTGTGCAACCCTGGCCGGAAGGCACCCGCACTCCGGGCGTGCCCCTTCACCTTCCAGCAGTCACCACGGGTGTCACATTCTTAGGAGCCAGGCCCCTTGATTTAACCGAGTCCCTCCCACCTGTTTTTGCTTCATGAACAGGAGAAAAGTAGGACAGAATTATATACTGAATAACCCATATTTTGAAAGATAGTGAGATTAGATTAAGCGATTCATTTGTAAGGAATCACAGAGAATTAACTATCTTTCACTTTCTACTGACTTACGGTAAATTTAGAAATGTCCATATCTTCTGCCAGGGGTCTACAAAATCAGTCTCGAGGGAAATGGCAGATGGGAAGAGTCACATCTCACCTTATGACCACAATCATCTTACAATTCCTAGTACAACATTGGATTTCAACAGACCTAGCATTTAATGCCTGCGATATTTAAATTAAATATTTCAGTGGAATGCAAGTTTTTCTGAAGCTCCCCGCCCCTTTTTTTGTTAATCCTCACTGGAGGATATTTTTTCCATTGATTTTTAGAGAGATGGGAAAGGATGGGGAGAGACAGAGAGAGCGAAACATCAGTGTTAGAGACACAATGATTGGCTGCCTCCTGCATGCGCCCTGACCTGGGACTGGGGATGAAGCCTGCAATCGAGGTATGTACCCTTGACTGGAATCAAACCCAAGACCCTTCAGTCTGTGGGTGGATGCTCTATCCACCAGCCAATCAGCCAGGGCTCTGCAGCCTTTTGGTTCTATGTTCCATCTGTGGTCTGCCAGTCTAACCCATAGAGAGAGTTATAAAAATGAACGTAAAAAAGTGGCGAGGATGATGACGTTCTAAGAAAGAAAGGCCTTACGCCTCCCATTACTACTGAGCCCGATAAGACACCGGCACCCACAGAACGGGAGCTCGGGGAGTGAGCTGGTGAAAGCCCTGTGTGAGCTGATGGGCCTGCCTGCTGCATGTAGGGGACTCAACGCAGAGAAAGACGAAAGGAAGGAGGATGAACTATGGGAATGGCAACATCCAGAAATCTTAAAAGGTCCTTCATAGGTGAAGGGTTTAGTCACTTTTTGTTAAATGTCCTCTCTGCTTAAGTTACAAGAAAATTCAAAACACTATAGAAGTGTAGGAAAGTTCATAATTTTATTTGTAATTTTAACAAGCTTAGAACAAAGATGAAAAAAAATCAACCAGATTGCTGAAGCAACTGGCTATCTAAATGGGAAAATGAACACTGACCTCCAACTCACACTACGCACCAGAACTAATGGGAGATCCAAGTGAGAGCTAACACGACAAAGCTTCTGGAAGGGAATGGAAGAGTGTCTCCACCTCACGGTGGACACAGATCTCCGAACCAGGGCAAAGAAAGACCCACAATGAAGACATTCATACATGTATTAGACTACATGAGAGTGCACATGTCTGACAAGGAATCATAGCTAGAATACATAAAGAATCTTACAACTCAAAAAAAGCAAAACAATGCAATAAAAAATGGACCAAAGTCTTGAATAGACACTTCACAAAGGAAGATGCTCAAATGGCCAATAAATATGTAAGAGCCTTTTAGCATCATCAGTCATTAAACTACAATGACACTGCACACCCCCCAGAATGGGTAAAATTATTTTGAAAAAATGGCGATACAATTGTAGGTGAGAAGGAAAGCAGCTGGCACTCTCATACTTTGCTGGTGGAACCCACAATAGTATAGGCCCCTTGGAAGACTGTTTGGCAGTTTCCAGTACAGTTGAACACACAGCTACGCCATGGCCCTGCAATTTCCCTTCTAAGCACATGCCTCAGATGAATGCATACACCTGTCCACAAAAAGACGTGTACAAGAAGATCTACAATGGTTTCATTCATCATAGCCCCAAACTGTAAACTACCAAAACCCATGACTTTGTAAATGGAGTAAACAAATTGTAGTATATTCATTATAGTGGAATTCCACAGCACAAAAAAACTATTGCTAGACACCACATGAGTGAATCTCAAAATCATTATAATGAGCAAAGGAGTCAAATACAAGAGCATGTATTGTTTGGTTCCATTTATGTGAAGGTCAAGTAGAGGCAAAACTAGTCTATGGTGACAGAAGTTAGAACAGTGATTATTCTAGAGAGTGGGGATCGAATGGGAGGCTGCACAGGGACCCTTTGGAATGATGGAATGTTCTTTAACTTCATCAGGGTGGTGACAAAACTGCCTTAACCAGCTGCACAATGAATTACGTGTTTCAGATCTGGGCAGGTCTGTATCTGTACGCAGCCTGTACTTTAATCTTGCACGGCATCACAGAATTTTAAGCTAGAAGGTCTCTATCTTAGTGAAGATCTGGTCTACCCATGAACTTCTACAGAGAAAGACATGAGTATCCAGTCAGGGTTTGTCCATTTACACAGTCCACGGGTAGTGACGCCAGGATGAGAAAGGTGATGCTTCTTACCTGTGACACCAGGGCCCTTCCTTCTACTCTTACAGCTCATTTAGATTTTTAAAATAAACTGTAGGGTCTAAAGTTTTTGTTTGTTTACTATTTTCCCTCTAATTACAGCATTATAGGCATTGAATCTGACAATCTTTTCAACACATTACCTACACTGCAAAACCTTTTCCTACCTTTCTCAAACTGTATGCCTGGGGGCTCTGGCCACCCTGTGCCACCCGCCACCAGCACTGACCCCAGAGAAGCCCTGGGGTTTAGCAAACTTCCCACTGGGTGTCTTTTTCTGTCCCGAAGAAAGAAGGTAAGTTGTAGCCACTGTTGGCCGACCTTCCAGATGAATGTGGGGGTGCAGGTCTCCCTGTGTTCTCCTGGAGCTGGTTTCAATGGGATTCTGCTACAGGCACAACATATTCGCCTCCAGGGACACAACGAAAGGGGCAAACACCCCAAAGAGGAGATTACCTTGGGAGTTTGGGTGACTTGCTTGCTTGGGAGATTTTGGGAGATTTCTTGGCAGCCCAGTCATCACTTAGTTCAATGTCACTGGAGTCCGAGCAGTTGCAGCTGTCGATCATGGTAGAGATCAAGCTGTTCCCATAGATTTCATCTGGTAAGACACCAACCAGCAAGCTTAAGGGAAGTGACATTAGACCCTAACAACGATCATTACTAGGAACTAAAGGACAGGCCACCATTTAAGTCCAGAGAGTGAAATAGAAAGAAGCAGAGTACTGTTGCCTTTTACATTTTTATGCTGTTATATTTTCTAAGCAAAAGTAGGCAATTCTACATTTATCAAATGGGCACAGTATTTTAATGCCCTGAAATGTACAACATAGTCCAGTACTTTACTGTGCCAACAGCTGAAACCCAAATGGCTTCACTGTTGTCCTTATGACACACCAGGTGTCAGGGACTTGTGGGCTGCCCAGACTCGAGAGAGGGTCTTGCTGACTCATGGACTCCCCCCAAAACCTATTTCTGACCTGGGACCTGGGAAGTCCTGTTGGATCCGGGGCCTGCTCTCTAGAAAGGAGACCTGATGGAGCCGCCATGTCTGGCTTGTGGAACAGTCTGCTGGCCTTGCCCCAAGGTTGCCTGTGGGGGCCTGGCTCTCCCACTGGTGGAGCTGTTTGCAATGGCTGCAAGAAAGCCTGTGTAGTAGGACTTTCAGGGCAGCTCTGGGTTCCACTGAGGGTACCTGCATAGAAGCCACTCAAGGTTAACTCTGCAAACTGGCCACCAGGCAGAAGACTGGAGGCCCCAAGGCAGAAAGTGATATGCACAGAGGTGGGGCCATCACAAAACTGCTAAGTAGACGAAGCTTACGTCTGATATCCTCCTCGAAATACCTTCTCCTTTGCTCCTTCCTCACACACCCCCATGTGCCTTTACCCAAATCCTTGCTATGCCCCCTCCCCTGCCCCACCCCAGGGCAGCCCTCACTGGAAGTTCCCCATTCTTCAAAAATCACTGTTTTGTGGACTAAAACCTCATTCCCTCAAGGCTCCAAAAACCTTACCAGGTAATAAAAAAGCCAAATCATTCAATCATTCTGAAATAACTTATAGGAGGAGAGTGATTTTACCATTTGAAAGGACTGTTTACATTGGAAAGGATGAGTTTGTTAATCCAATCCAATCTCTAAATGTCTGAACATATGGCAGCGACGCCTGTGACCAGCGCAGCTCGGCACACAATGTGGAAGGCGGCTGGCTGATGCCCAGTCCGTGTGCCTGCATCAGCCCTTCTTAAACCGCTTACGGAACCAGAAGGCACAACTCGCGACTCCAGCAAGCGACAGTGGTATGCCTGTGAGTTCGATCAAGTAAAAAGACTTAATTCCCGTGCCCTGAGCAGTTCTTCACTATTTAATTTAGGAGTCACTGCATCAGAGGAAGCTTGGCTACGATTCAAACCCGCATGTAAGGCCGCAGACTGCTTCCACGTGTCCATCGCACAGAGCTGGTTTACTGACTTGAGGAAATTCACTAAGGCACAGTCCGCTCAATCTCTGACCTCCTTGCTAATGCCAGGATTTTGCAAACGTTATACCATCACTTTTTCCATTACTCATGTCATAGCTCGTTCAGGCTGCTATAATGAACGCCACGTGTGGGGCAGCTGATAAACAACAGAACGTATTTCACACGGTTTGGAGGCAGGAAGGATGAGACCAGGTGCTGGCATGGCTGGGTCCTGGTCACGGCCCTCTTTAGGCTGCAGGCTGCCGACTTCTTGCTGTGTCCTCACTTGGCAGAAGGGGCTGGGGATCTTTCTGGAGCCTCTTTTATAAAGCACTAACCTTGTCATTATAAAGGCTCCACCCTCATTGCCTAGTCACTTCCCAGAGGCCCCACCCCCTAATCTGGTCACACTGGGTGTTAGGATTTCAACACAGGAATTTGAGTGGGGGATGGACACAAGCATTCACCACTAACTTTTGGGTTGTCTCCCCAAGCAGTGTATAAAGTCCATGAGGGTAGGAGTTGCCTGTCTTGCCTCGTGCTGTAACCACAGAGATGAAAACAGCCCCAGGAACGGTAAATACTGCCTGACAGAAAATGGGATCTTTGTTCTGCTGCCTGTGCACCCCACACCAACTGCAGCAGAACCCTGGGGTGTGGGGTGGTACTGGTGATGCTAAAGCTCTGAGGGATTCCCCTGAGCACACCAGGTTGTGGACACCATTCATCTAGGAGCACAGTGGGGACCTCCCACAGCATGGTTAAAGGGGGGTGTGCTCTCAGAGCACATGCCCTGAGCCCGCCTGTCTGCCGCTGATCATCAACACAACCAGCGATCCCGTCACCACACAGACCCACAGGCTGGGAGGCCAGCCCTGGTTGGCCAGATGTACCTCTTAGTTCTACAGAGGTGGTATCATCAATTTATTGTGGAAATTCTGGAGCAAACATCCACGTTGTAGAAAAATATAAGTTGGGATTGCCCTTTGAGAACCAAAGTTTGAACTATCTGAGGCTTCACATCCCAATTTTATCAGTTTTCAAAAATGTGCTTATTTCATTTAAATTGAAGGCTTTTCAAAATATGCAACTGAATCAGATATATTATTACAATTTTAAAAAATCTTTCAATGCAGTTTTAACAACTTCAATATTTAAAATTCTGTCTTAGTTTGCTCAGGCTGCCATAACTGTGTGACTTACACAGAAATTTATTTCTCACAGTTTAGGAGGCTGGAAGCTGAGATCCAGGTGTTGGCATGGTCAGGTCCTAGTGAGTGCTCTCTTCCTGGCTTGCAGGCAGCAGCCTTTATACTGTTTGCACATGGGCTTTCCTCATTGTATGCATGGAAAGAGAGATCTCTCTTCTTTTTCTTACTATACTACCAATCCTATTGGATGGGGACCCCATGCTTAAGGCTTCATTTATCCTAATTACTCCCTAAAAGCCATGTCACCCTGAGGGTTAGGGCTTCAACATGTGCAATCTGGGGGGACATAATTCAGTCCATAGCAAGCACTGATTAAAGGTTCCTTTTGAAAACTTGTGGATTTTTGCCTATATATATATATATATACACACACACACATATATATATACACACACATATATATTTAAATATATATACATTTATAATATATATATTTTTTATTGGGACTCATGCTATTATAAAAATACACACTGGTAATTTTGAGGAACATTTTGTTAAGTTACTTGGAGGACACTGACAACAGTGGGCCTCAATCGTTAGAGCATAAGTCACCGGGTGCCCATTATGTTACAGATTTCTAGGCCTCACCACAGCCCTGCTGAACGCACAGAAGGGGCATAAGGCCCAGAGCCTCCCGGGAGGGGGGGAAACAGTGATGTGGAGGCTTAACTTAACCAGCTTCTCCTCAGGAGACGCTCCTGGCTTCCCGGAGTCAGGAATCCTTCCCTCCTCTGAACCAGTGTCCATGGCCTATTCAGCTGGCCGTTAGTCATATGCTGCCGCCTTGTGACATGTCTTCTGTTCTTGTCTTGAGATATTTAAATCTTGACTTTTTTATTGAACTTTTCAACTGTTAGGCTGTCTTATCACCCAAGAGGGATTATACACTGCGTGAGAGCAGCCACACCTGGTATTTCTTCACGACCACAGGAGACAGGACAGTGCACCAAGCTGGCACTGAATACGTAGTGTTGATTTGCTTTGCTTTTCAACGTTTTCAATATTTTAATCACAAAAATAGAACATCCCTTTCCCAAAGGACTGTTAACAATTGAATGAGGGGGTGTGTGGTGTGAGCTGAGTGGGTGAGCATGAGGAGGAGGAGGCAATGGGCAGTCCACCCTACAGCACACCGCCTGCTTCTTCTGCCCTATGTTTTAGTGGGAACATTATGCACCCAGGGACAGAAGCAAGCTATTCATGTCAGTTCCCTTCAGCACTTAATGTGAGTGTGGGTTTCATATAACTGTATACATGGGAGGAACCTTACCCACAATGACACTAGATAAGAAGGTGTGATGAGTGCGCTGGTTTAGTGCCTTTAACACTTCCTTCCCTCCTTCGGTCACCTCTAATCCTCAATGATTGGACCTTTCTTCCTCCATCCCCTAAAAATCACATTTTCTAAATTCACACCCACAGCCCTTCCGGTTTTCTCACTTTGCTTCCTTCCTCCCTCCTTTTCGCTGCCTCCCTATCAGCCCCCATTTATTCTACTCGCTCTCCTTGCTCTTGATGTACTAGTTCATTTATAATATATACATTATATATATATTATAGTACATCCCTGATGTACTAGTTCATCACACGAGTCAAAAGAAAAAATAATCCAATTGAATATTGGAGTGGTTAAATGAGGCCAAGGCTGAAAAAGCCATTGCACTGTGCCTCTAGGATAACTCCGGTCAGACCAGAGGTCACAGTGGCTTCAGGGACATAACCAGGGGCACAAGCCAGTCTATGGGAGAGAGGATGAATGGGAGTTAGGACGGGGGAAGAACAAGTGTGAAACTAATGCAAACAGACCTCATTTAACTCATGTTATTTCAAGGTCAGGTGCTTGCCAGGCACTGGGGATATAGAGATGACTCCGTTCCCTCCCACAGGCCCTCAGAATTCGGGGACAGACAGAGCCCCAGCCTCTTGGGATCTCAGCAGCCAGACTGACAGGGGACAGGCACAGAGGACATGGGAGTGCAGTCTACTGTCAGGGGGTGGCAGAACGTTTGAGCTGGCAGGTACTGCTGACGGGCGCTCAGGCCTCAACGGGCACTGGCTAAGGACACTGGGCAGGAATAGTTAGTACAAACAAAGGAACAAAGTCCTTCTGTCTAGGGCATCGGTTCTCAACCTGTGGGTCGCGACCCCTTTGGCGGTCAAACGACCCTTTCACAGGGGTCGCCTAAGACCATCCTGCATATCAGATACTTACATTACGATTCATAACAGTAGCAACATTATAGTTATGAAGTAGCAACGAAAATAACTTTATGGTTGGGTCACAACATGAAGAACTGTATTTAAAGGGCCAGAAGGTTGAGAACCACTGGTCTAGGGGCTCACAAAGCAGAATCGCATGAACAGGTGAGCAGGGAGCACCCTGAGTACATCCGCCGAGTAATGAAGCTACAGAGGAAAGGGTTCTGGGAGGGAGAAGTGTTCATCAAACAGGATCTTTATGAATGAGCAGGGCGTTTTCCTTGGTAGTCAGTGACAAAGCAGTTCACAGTGGATTAGTGAGGGACAGAGCAGCCCTGTGGCAGGAGATGAGAGCAGGCTGAAGGTTTGGAAATTTTAATTCTATCCTTCCTTTGAGGTGGGGGCAGGGACAGACCTCACTATTACAAGCAGGTGGTCTCAATAGCACATTGAGGCCCTCAATGACCACTACCCACTGGAAGAGGAACCTGTCACTCCAGAGCCCTGGGCCAGCTTCCCCTTCACTGACAGCCCCACCACATGGCTTATCATGTGGTTGAAAGTCCCATCAAAAAGTACGTGTAGAGAATCATTAACTTCCACAGGCTTTTGGAAATGGAATAGCTCCGAGGATGTCCCATGCCTGCCCACATCCACATGGGCAATCTCTTTGCCTGGGCTGTCAGGAGCCACACGGACAACTAGCGCCAGTCCCTATGGCGAGGGAACCCACCTGATTTGCTATCCGTCCGAGGGTCCATGATGACAAACTCTGGCCGCAGCTTGCTGATACGCCGCCCCTTGAGGATGGGCACGAGCCCGCCCAGGTACTCCAGGTAGAGTGTGTAGCATGGGCCTCCCACCTCTGGGTCATCCTCCGTGCGCTTCATGGTGCAGTGCAGGCGCTCGTTGCCAGCCGAGGGGTAGCTGACAAAGTCTCGCATGTTGTTAGGGTCTGGAATGGGGGGCTGAAGGCAGTAGAGAAAAAAGGGAGAGTGTGGTTCACTGGTGACTCTGACAGAACACTGCCTGGTGGCCCGATTGGGGTTAACTACATGGCATGGAATGGTGATTAGTAACTCTGGGTGGACATCAGAATCCGCTGGGAGCTTTTAAAAAAACACACCTGAGCCAGGATCCCACCTCAGACAATGAAACTTCAATCTCTAGGGGGTGGGCCTGGGCATGTATATTGTCTAAAAACTCCCCAGGTAATTCTAATATGCAGCCAGGTTGAAAGAAAAAAATTATAACAGATTCTAAAACTCTTGTGTTTCAGGAAAAAACGTAACCCACAAGTCAATCTAATACTTAGAAGCAGAGACAGAATACAAAAAAGAGAACGCAGAAAAAAACCCAAGGTTAGGGGGCAACTCAGACCTGAGCAGCACCTGGCGGATACAGTCCACACACTACAGCTGAAAACAGAGCCGTTTTCGGGTTACAGTCAGTATAGACGTCTGGCAGCGAGTGCTGGGCGGGGTGGCTCCTCCTCAGCACAGTGTGAGGATGGCAGGCCCTACGCCCTGACTGGCTCCATCTCGGCCATTCCCGTAAGAAGCTATGGAGGAAGTTACCCAACTTTTAGGGACATGTTTCCTGCTTTCTCAGGTGGGAATAATGGCAGCATCTGCCAGGAAGTCATGAATGAGTAAGGCAGCTGATCATCAGGATGACATTGAGCTCGGAGTCCTGCCTTTGCCATGAGGAAGCTGATGTCCATCACACGAGGCGAATCTCTGGTGGACACACTAAAGATGATGCACGTGTGGAAGGACGTGCGGACGCTGCAGAGCCACACACCTCCCCCCACCCCTACCCCCCAGACCTGTCGGAACAGACCTGACTTCTGTGCTGCTGCTCTGGGACTCTCCGCCTCTTCCCTGTCTCTGCCCTCCTCTCTGCAAGGGTGAGGAGGAGGGGGGAAGTAAGGGGGAGGGAGGGAGGAAGGCTCTACCTTGATGGTAGGGATGAAGGCAGTGGAGAGGTAGGAGCAGAGGCGAGGGGGCAGGGTCAGCTTGCTGACATCCTTGTCTTCTCGCAGGGCACTGGCGATGGCCTGCTGGCACAGCAGCTGCAGGCTAGACACCCGGTGCTCCACACGCACCACGTACAGGGCTGGTCCTGAAGCCATCAGCAGCCTAGAGTCCCGGTGGCCCCAGCAGATGGAGATGATGGGGCGCTGCCAGGAAGTGAAAGGCAACCGCACATAAGCTTTCACTCTTGTAAGCAAAGAAAGATCATGCATGCCTGTCTCAAGCAAAATAAAGGGACTTAATAGTTTTTGAGAGTATTTGTTTTAAAAAGTACAACAGAGAATCCTCAATACTGTATTATGAAAATTCAGGACTTTCACTGAAAAGTAGTTAGATCCTCAGGCCAGAGTATAGATAGAGTACTGGAATCGTTTTACAAAGTTCCTGTTCATATATTACCTCATTTAATTTAGTGCCATAAAACCTAATGTAGCGACATTTCTACCAGAAGATGCAACAGGTTTGGGGTACAGCAATCCATATTCCTTCCTTAAGCTCTGATTATCTGGACCCGCAAATAACTGGTGGTCCAGTTCCCATGGCTTGGGCAGGTGGAGAGGAGGTGGACCAGATGGCCCTTCCCTTTTGTCCTGACAGACAAATCGACACTGGATTTGGGGCAGGAGCTATGTGACCTGGAGGCTATCACAGAACCCCTGCAAGTCTACTCTCTCATGAGTCTGTGGGAGCTACCCACAGTGAGCATTAAAGTACCTGGAAGATGCCGAAATGCTCCCGGGACCACACATGTTAAGTCACTGCTATTCTCAGCCATCCTCAAGCTGATGGGTCTGAGAGAAAGTAGAGAGCCAGCTGGAAGGGGGAGGGAGGAGGACACAGGTCCTGTGGTGGCCTCTTGGGGGTTGGTGGCCATCACTTGCTTTGAAAAGGCAGGCTAATATCCGAATGTGCAAGTAGAAACTGCTTGTACTGAAAAAACTCAGAGCTCAGGGGTGCTGTCTAAGTAAGATTAGCCAAGGAAGAAAGCAAGAGGCAAAGGGCTGTGATGGAGAAGCAGCGAGAGAATATGTTCATTCGGATCCAGGCAGATGGAATTCTAATTTAATGAGGTCTTGAGGGGTCTCAAAGATGAGAAGTGGGGATACCAGATCTTTAATATGAATGACAGATAGGAACAGAATTTTCACAACACTTCAGCAACAACATCAAGATAAAAGGAGCACATGAAGACACTTGCTTAAAATAGCCCCCAGGGTCAGCTAATCCTGGTTTCACTTCAAAACAAACTACGGGCTGAAGATAATTCAGCTTTCATTTCCATCACAGAGAGGCCAGCTGCAGCACCAAGGAGGACCAGGGAGCCTGGAACTCAAGTTTGGGGCTTCCAGAAACTTCCAAGATGGGCCTCCTTACAAGAGGAACCCCACACAGAGAGGGAAGACCCCATAGAGGGGCCTGTTACTCACTGCTGAAGACAGTGTAGACGACACATAAAAATACACAAACAATTTTCTTTGGTATCATCAGTCCCCTACAAGTGCAGGTCAGGACAGAGGTTCTGTTAGTACCAAAATTGTGATTAATCTTAAAGACATACCACTGCCCCCAAGTGTCTGTATCTCCCTCTCATTGCTGGTGCTGAGCCATTTAAAAGGAATGCAGATTTGTTACTCTAATGCCACAACACAATGGAACAGTGAGGTCAAGGGCCAGCTTCAACCCCTGAGGGCATCCGAAGACACACCAAGTATCTCCTAACCCTCCCTCCTGCCCCATAGAAGAGGCCATGCGTTTGTCCAGTCATTTATTCAGTTACTGAGCTGCCAGGCAGTTTTTCAGTAAAGACCTGTTAGTTGTGTACAATGGGCCAGACAGACTCTAGGTTTGAGAGTAAGATAAAACCCCGGCCCTAGTGGCACTGAGGTGGGAGGGGAGAGAGAAATAACTTAGCATCTGCCCGGACAACTCGGTAATATCCGGTGGTGAAAGTGCTGTGAAGTAAAACTAGCCAGGATCACGGCAAGACAAAAGCGGGGTGGTTTCAGCAGAGGCCCGACTGAGATGAGGGAACTTACTGATCTGTTTTCTAATTGGAATGAAAGCTTCCTCACTATATTACTTTTTTGTATACAGTAGTGAGTTGGATGAAGTCTTCTAAAAAGGTAAGAGAAATACAAATCCTTTCCATATTAAAGCTAAGCTGATCAGGCTGGATTAAAGTTGACAACAAAAAGAGTCAAAGAGAGAAAACTGGCTCAAGAGCAAATGCACTTCCAATGTCTACCAGCCCCAGCAGAAGGGGCCGTTTAAAGTTTGTACAAGAATGTGCACAAAAGGAAAGCTATCTAGAATAGCTCACCTTCAAACAGGCTACGCTGACGACTGGTCACCAATGAACTATGTTGGCTGGAGCCATGGACAGTTCTGAATATTAAGTTACGATGATTTGGCACCAACTACGTTAAATAAAAGCTAGCTCAGGATTCAGTCACCCCAATCTCAGCTTTAAAAGAATACACCATTTTGTGTTATGTAAGCAGATGACCGGGAAGGACTTTCTCATCTATTCACAACAAAAAGGAAAAGCACATCTATGCAGCTTCATGAGAACAGACAGAGCTAATCCTCAACAAAAGGAGGCAAGTACACTTTTGCTAAAGGATTCGGCTTCAAGAGTGTACAAGTCTATGAGCACAAATGCAATCTCTCATTTGATTTTTCAGTTCCCACACCCACCTTCTTCTTTTCCTTCTCTCTTAATTTTTACATCAATGATTGAACCTTATAGAACATAAGGTAACTCCTCCCACTTGCTTTTAATGCAAGAAAAAGTTCATAAAGCTAAAACAAAACAACTGACCAACTAACAACCCAGACCCAAATTACTGAAGCCAGCAAGCTTCAGTCGGCAGTGCGAGCTCTGAAAACCTGTGTCAGATGATCAGCTATGCTATTATTTATAGATGGTCACGGGGAAGAGATAATGAGATCAATGACAGGATTTTAAATTACAACAGGTAGGAAGGGAAGGAAAATAAATTATAGCATATTTCCTTATAAGAGCTTCAGCCACAGGCATAGCTATTATGAGCAAATCAGGAGAATCCATTTTAAGGCCGAGGCTGTGCGAGTTTGTGCTTGGCACAGCTTTGTGCGCAATAACCTACAATCTAATTAACTTGGAAATAAATTCTCCAATCTAAACGGCATGACGTTCTTTTTATAAACAGTTCAATAAATTGCCCAATTTCCTTCCTGCTATAAGAATGTCCCTGCCTGTGGACCCCATGAGTAGCATAGCACAGATAACATGTGATTTTAGAATCATCCCAGGCAAAGAGAAAGTTGGTACTATATAAAATTAATATTGTATTTGATTTTTAATAGCATATATTTAATTTTATATTATTGAGGCAATTTTTTCAATGGTTGTAACAAACCTTCAAATGAAAAAAGGAATCAATGCTTTATTAAAATGCTGAGACACTGTATAGATATTTTTCTCCACAGAAAGATCAGCCAAGCCCCTCTCTTACCCCCAAACCCAGTTTAAATTCAAGACCCATGATACTTTCATGTCAGCGCTGATGAGAACGTTTGCAATGGTTAAGACCATCAAGTCTCTATTACATTCTAGGCACAGTGAAGATCACAAAAATGAAGAAAACACAGTGTTTACCTTCAGGAAAATAAAACAAGTAGACAGAAAAGTGCAATATATGCCAGTGGTATAAGGACCCCAAGGTTTCATAGAGAAGAAGGATGGAAATCGTTGTACAGATTTACAGAAGAATGTGGCTGGCCTGGCGCTAAGGAGGATGGATTTTCCCAAGCTGAGATGTCAGGAAAGAACATTCCCTGGAAAGGGGACAGAATGCTGCCCCGAAGGGTGTGCCCCGAGTCAGACAGAATAGTGAACAATGCTGTATGTACTTGGGTCCCAGCACTGCAATTCACAAACATTCTAATAAACCCAACAGTCTTATTAACCCCGAAAGAGCTGAAAATTCCCATCCTCTCCTACTTGTCATCCAGTTAGGCTATAGAGAGCAAACTGGTATGAGATCTGATTGAGAGGGCACACAGCCTACTGGCTCATACAACCAACAGAAAGAAATAAAGAAAGCATATGATGACAACTGTCCATCCATCAATCCACTGAGTATTATTGCGCACCTCCTATGTGTCATGCAATACACTGGCAGAAGGGTCAAATTGTCAACAAGGTTAACTCTCCTTAATCCCAAATGTGCAGGGACTCCAGTACCTATGTTCACTTTCTCACACACCCTGGCATCATAATAATGGCCTCAGCTTGACTTCACTTTAGCTCTTCCCTGGTTTGTTTGCTTCACTTCTAAAATAGGAGTAGGAATTTCTATCCAACCACAAGTCCCCATCCTATTTCCATCACTTCCTGTTGAACATGCTTTATCATGACCTCATCTTTTCCAGTCCCAGGTCATAAGGCATCTACCTACCTACCCAGATTTCATAACATCCCCAGTAGTTCTTAAATCTTCTATATATTTTTTTGGTCTTCCTGCTGCATTATTCTTTCCAACTTCTAATTTTAGGCAGCCTGTACCCCTTCTGCCCCTAGGGAAGGCATGATCAGCACTGACTCAATTTAAAATCATACTGTCTAGCTTTGGCTGGGACTTAATTTCAGCTTATTATCTTGACCAGCTCTTGTGTCATATTCCTGTATCCTAGCACTTAGAGCAGGGATCCTCAAACTTTTTAAACAGGGGGCCAGTTCACTGTCCCTCAGACCGTTGGAGGGCCAGACTATAGTTTTTAAAAAAACTATGAACAAATTCCTATGCACACCGCACATATCTTATTTTGAAGTAAAAAAAGAAAATGGGAACAAATACAATATTTGTATTTGCATGTGGCCCGCGGGCCGTAGTTTGAGGACCCCTGACTTAGAGCACCAGCCACACAGCAGCCCCTCAAAATATGTTTGCTGGGCACTTGAACAAATGAGTGAACAAATATGCATATTTGCCCACAGAAGATACTGCATTGTCAAAAGATATATTTAAATTCTGTAACTCAACAACAACAAAAACACACCAAATAATCCAACAAAAAAATTGGCAACCCTGGCTGGATAGCTCAGTTGGTTAGAGCATTGTACTGATATGCCAAGGTTGCAGGTTTGATCTCTGGTCAGGGCACATACAAGAAGCAACCAATTAATGCATAAATAAGTAGAACAATAAATTGATGTCTTTTTCTCTCTCTCTCCCTCTCCCTCCTACTCTCTATAATCAATCAATCAATCAATCAATCAATCAATCAAATAGCCCTGGTCAGTGTGGCTTAGTTGGTTGAGCATCGTCCTGTGCAATGAAGGGTCACCAGTTTGATTCTCGATCAGGGCACATACCTAGGTTGTGGGTTTGATCCCTAGTCAGGGTGCATGCAGGAGGTAACCAATAGATGTTTCTCTCTCACATCGATGTTTCTCTCTCTCTCTCCCTCTCCCTTCCTCTCTCTCTATAATGAATAAAGATATTTTTAAGTAAATAAAATAAAATTGGCAAGGATCTTGAAGAGTCATTTCTCCAAAGAAGCACAGAAGGCCAACCAATAAGCTGATGAAAATGCACATGAAAAGATGCTCAAGGTAACAATCAGGGAAATACAAATAAAAACCTCACACCCATTAAACACACACACATACACCAGAAAATAAAAAGTGTTGGCAAGAATGTAGAGAAGATAGAACCTCTGGGTACTGTTGGTGTAATGTAAAATGGTGCAGCCACCATGAAAAACATTATGACGGTTCCTCCAAAATTAGAACTAAAACTACCATATGATCCAACAAGTGTCCTGGGTATTTATTCAAAAGAACTGAAAGCAGTGTTTCAAGACATATTTGTATATCCTTGTTCACAGCAGCATGAGAACTAAATAGCTAAAAGGTGGAAGGAACCCAATGTCCACTGAAGGATGAATGTATAAAATGGTGTATATACACACTGAGTGGCCAGATTATTATGAACACCTGAGGTTTGTAGGCAAATTAGCTATAATTTTGCGCTGAAGTTGCTAGAGGGCCAGACCATTATAAATAGGGAAGAAAGTTGTTTACCACGACAGAAGTGATTTTTTTCGGAAGATATGGGTAAACAATGTGATTTAACATGGTTTGAACGTGGGCCAGATTATTATGACTACCCCACCCCATCAGTACTTCGTTGGGCCACCTTTTGCCTTCAATACTGCGGCGATTCTTCTTGGCATTGACTCCACGAGATGTTGAAAGGTGAAAGGTGATGTGAGGAATCTGACACCATGCCTGATGAATAGCACTGTCCAGTTCTGTGAGATTCGATGGTTGTGAAACCAGCTGCCTGATGGCTCTTTTAACTTCATCCCACAAATGCTCAGTTGGATTGAGATCTGGTGAGTGTGGGGGCCACCTAAGCAAGGTAAAGTCTCCCTCATGTTCTTGAAACCACTCCTGCACAATATGAGCACCGTGGCATGGCGCACTGTCTTGCTGGAAGAAGCCATCTCCATTGGGATATGCCATCAACATGATAGGATGAACTTGATCAGCAACGATATTTAGGTATGTTGTGCTATTCAGACGCTGTTCCACAAGAATTAAAGGGCCCAAACCATGCCAGGAAAACATGCCCCAAACCATAACACTGCCCCCACCAGCTTGAAGGGTTGTACTCATGTATGTGGGGTGCATGCTTTCATGCTGTTTCCACCAAATTCTCACTCTGCCATCTGCATGATGCAACTGGAAACGTGATTCATCGGACCACATGACTTTTTTCCAATGCTCGACTGTCCAATCCTTGTGTTCCTGTGCGAATTGGAGATGTTTTATCTTGGTAACTGCAGACAGCAAAGGTGTTCAAACAGGCCTTCGGCTTCCATATCTCATACGATGCAGTATACAGCTAATTTGCCTATAAACGTCAGGTGGTCATAATAATCTGGCCACTCAGTGTGTGTGTGTGTGTGTGTGTGTGTGTGTGTGTGTGTGTGTGTGTGTATCCCATGTTCAAAGGCTGTTAAATCGCGTTGTTTACCCATTTCTTCAGAAAAAAATCACTTCTACTGTTGTGGTAAACAACCTGCTTCTCTATTTATAATGATCTGGCCCTCTAGCAACTTCAGCGCAAAATTATAGCTAATTTGCCTATAAACATCAGGTGGTCATAATAATCTGGCCATTCAGTGTATATATACATATACATAGACATAGACATACACATATATATATAATGGCATATTATTCAGCTTTAAAAAAGAAGGAAATTCTGGCATATGCTATAACGTGGATGAACCTTGAGGAGAGGTTATGCTAACTAAAATTTTAAAAAGTCATAAGAAGACAAACACTGTATGATTCCATATATGAGGTATGTACAATAGTCAAGTGCATAGAAACAGAATGGGATACAGTTTCAGTTTTACAAGATGAAAAAGTCCTAGAGATTGGTTAGACCACAATGGTATATACTTCACACTACCTAACTATACACTTAAAAATGGTTAAGATGGTAAATTTTATGTTATGTATATTTCACTATAATTTTCTAAAAAGAGGTATTTAAATAATTAATGCCTGCATCTAATTACAAAATACCCCAATATGGTATACCTGCCTCTCTAATGAGCTGGGTAAGGTTAAGACATAAGTCCTTAGTTTGTTATCAACCCATCAATCATCAATGCACTCGCAGCTCTCTGTCCAGTACACCCTGCTGAAGATTCCATCCTCTGCCATATCAGACCCGGACAAGAATAAATGGCCTAAAGATTTCTGGAACATGAAAACAAACAGAAAGGGGCCCACCTGTGCACTTTCCAAAGACATTTAAGCTTTTAAACACTGTTTAACAGTAACTTAGCTGAAACATAAAAATACATTACTGACTTAACGTAAAATCAGAGTAAATAAATTAAGAATGAGCATTCACTTCTGCATCTTCTGATTTCTACTTCAGACTGATAATAAACACGAGGTCACTCTGCTTATTGTCCATTCATTTGATTGTATTTTGGTTAAAAAGCAAAAATGTCTTTCTCTCTATTTTTCCTGGTTCATGCCTCATAATTTAATTAAAGTCAACAAAGGATTGAAATCTGCCAAAGACAATTACAGTGAGTATAACCAACTCACGACTCTTCCATGAAGACTGGGCACACTAACACAGGGCATCATAGTGAGTGCCCCCTCCCCACTTCCTTACTTGCACAAGTGTGTCCAGTGTGAAGATGTGTTCCCCACGAACATTGTAGAACTTGACCATGGCACTCTTCAGGAGAGGGCCGTTGGGAAGGTCACCAAGGGTTTGCCGTTCCATACCAGCGACTGCCAGAAGGTCTCCCTGCGTACACCACTGGGCCACCACCTCTGAAATCACAAAGAAGAAACGGCCTGAAACATACTTCTCCCTGAACTTTCACTTCATGGTAAGTAGTTTAAAAAAGAGACGCTTAACAAATGCAACAGTGGCTCTCCCCTTTTCTCTCATGAAGACATTAGCTACCTATTTCTCTGAAAACAATACAGACTCTATTAAAAACAGGTGCTTATGACTTAGCAAGGAACTGCAGTGCCCCTGAAAGATAACTAAATCAGTCAAAGAAAATACAACAAAGCTGGCGTGCTAAATACCTATCTCTAATGCCAGCAATTCCATAACAGGACTTGCAGAACTCTGAGAGAGCAGGCAAGATAATAAAACCTACGATGTACATCCTACGTGCTTTTCCCATTGTTGTGCCCCCCACCAAGAGATGACTCAAAGAAGTCATAAATGCTATAAGTAAATCCTGAGCAAAGCCTAACTATACTCATTTGATTTCTATGCAGCCCTGGGCAGGTAATATTTAGGCAAAGAACATATCTGCACATGAAGGCCCCAACTCTTATCCAACAGCTGACGATGTTGTGGGGCTTAGGAAAGAAGATAAATACTTCTGTTAGGTGGTAGTGTTGTCAGAGAAATGTCCACACTGGAGATGCGATGCCCTCCCACCAGCCTTTCAGTGCCTACAAGAAAGGCTATTACATGATTTGTCTAATCCCAATGTTAGCCAGTTACTTATTCTTGCTGGTAAAATAAGCTGTTGTACTAATAAAATTTACAGTATAGTTTTTCTCCCTCAAGACCCTAAGACTGTTTGCGGCTTATACAGAGATCCCAGAAGTCTGGAACTCAGGGGCCCATTCTGCAGAGGCTGGACAGGGACATGTGTAAGAGCTGGGTCTAGAATTCAACAGCCTCTAAGCGCTAACAGGTCACACGTGATCACGGCCTCTTGTTCATGTGCGGTACTGATGCTGACATTAACACCAGCCACTCTGAGGTCACCACAGAAATTAACTTCCTTTGAAGACTAGACAGTGGCCTCTGGGGCAAGACGACCCTCCAGACCCAGGGAAGCCAGAGCTCATTCAGCAAGTCAGCCACAGACAGAAACCAGAGACAGAGGTGGCAGAGAGCTGAGAGGAAGGAGTTATAGACAAGCACCCAGTGAAATAATACACCGAGAGAACGCATCAATAAAAGGAGTCCCCCACCCCCCTTTTTCATATAAGAGGATATGAATAAGGTGGAACAAATGAAAAATAACTTAAAAGAATCAAATACATATCCTGGTGAATAGACTTTTACAAAGATAGGGGAAGCGAGAGGGCTTGTGCATACACCAGTGTGCTCTGGACCAAATGCCTCCATCACTCTAGTGAAGAGCCTTGTCATGAAACTGAGATGACCTTTTCTGGATGGTTCCTTTGTAAGCACAAAGATGTCAAAAGAAGGAGCACTAACACTAACAGGTAAAAACAAGAAAAAGATGAGGCCTACCCTTGTCTACGGCAGCAGCATCATTGCAAAACCGCAGAAATAAAGACACAGCACTTCATTCCCAAGGCTCCTCAGCTGACCCGCTTTGGTCAATGGGTGAGTGGATACCGGCACCATTCTTTCTGCTATTTATTCATTTTAATAACATTCTTTGCATTTTGTCTTTTACCAACAGAAAAGTAGGTTGTTGCTCCCGCAGGGCTGACCTAGACACAGTCACAAAGTTGCTCAAAGACGGGCCCTGAGCACTCAAGGCTCTTAAGGCACTTTTGGAGCCTTAAACATTTTGTTTACTAGGTGGGAACTGTCTGTCCTGTTGCAGAAGACCCCAGGAAAACCAAGTGACGCTTTGAAGAAGTGGAAAGACACTGTTTTAATTACACCGGTGGACTCCGGGAAGTAATTTCCAGATCAGAGTGAAGCAGCACGTGGAAGGTTTCACTTTTTATAACCTTCGGGGTCTTTGTTTTGCAGATATGCCCCCTGCCTCCCTTCATGGCCCTGCAGGAAGACCCCCCCGTGTAATATTTACAAGCAAATGCTCAGGGATTTCTTCATTGCAGTTGAGGAACAGAGTGAATAAAAAAATGGAGTCACTAAGGTCAAGCTTCTGAATTATTCAATGACGTATGCTGAGGCAACAGGAAATGATGCCATTCTTGCTTTGACTAGCCTGGGAACTTAACCTTCTGGGCTTTCAGTCCTGCGTCAATGCTAGATGCACCCGGGTCACTGTGCATCAATGGCCTGAACATACATCAAACCCTCCGATGACCATCTGAGTGACCTCAAGAAGAAACTGACCTTCTGTCCAGATCGCTGGACATCTGGAGATACCATCCTGGACCAATGCAGGGCTCAGAACGCAGGACTGATTCTTCTCAAGAATGGACTTTGTACTATAAGGCCCCTCAGCTTTTCTTTCTCAATTGGAATGGTCTGGTATTGCCTAGCTGTGTTTTCCGTCGCAAACTCAGAAACCCTTGAATAAGTCTTTGTCATTTACTTCTAGACAAAGCCTCCTGAATCTTAATTCTGAGCGCATTAGACAGTTATAAAGTTATCCTAAGACAGTTATAGTCTATAATGGCAAGTCAATCTTTTAAAAGGAGTAAGTTTCACAATAATAGGGCCATTGTGTGCTCAAAGAAATGCTAGAAAGAGAAAATTCTGCAAAACAGAGAAACAAAACAAAGCAGTATGAATTTGAATTCCTTTATTTTGAATTCGAATTCCTTTATTTTAAGGCAATGTGGGGTAAAGTGAGACATGCTCTTGAATTTCTGAACTTCTAAGTTTTTTGTTTTTGATGGGTAGCAGAATGTGCCATCCAAAATATGCCTTATTGGCATAAGGATTATTTTGAGAAGAAATAAGATACAAGACAAGCTCTCTGCTCTCCAACATTGTCTAAAAGCAAGACAGATTTGTAAACGTGTATGACCTCCCACCAGGAAGGACATAAGTTAATCACTGGAGACAACTTTAGACCCTTATCAACCCAGTAAAGATACTAGACGAATCTATAAAACAAATTTATGAACTAGCCCTTATCGTCAATTAGTTCCCACGATTTACTGCCCTAGAAACTGAGTCCTTTAGTTTTGTCATTTCTCTAAAATGTATTGTTCTTTTGTTAACATGCTGTATAACCCACATTATAACCACTGCTCCCAGCTGCTCCAAGTTACTCATCTACGAGTGCTTTCATGGGTAAGTGCAATGCCTGAGTTAATGCATTTGTTTGCTTTTCTCTTGTCAATCTGTCTTTGTCAGTAGACTTTACAGGGCGAACCTCAGCCTGAGGAAATGTTTTTCCTCCCCTATATCCTCAAGAAAGAGCAAAAGTCACAACAAAGGGTAAAAACTCCAAATAAGGTGAACCAATTTATGGTTCATTGTATGATAAACAATTTGGGATTCTCAGGAAATTTTTCTTCAAGGCACAACTTGCTGGGGGGGGGGGGGGGGGACAACGACGACACTGAACCAGACATATTTGCAAAGCAAAAATCACTTCCTACCCCTATACACACACAAATGAATCTGCAATAAAGGAATGTGTGGTAGATGATGAGAAAGAGGGCTGGCTGCAGGCACCATGGTCTATCTGGCACTCTAAGTTCTTTTCCATGTGACATATTCACTGTGCTGGTAACAAACTAAAGAATAGCCCTAACCGGTTTGGCTCAGTGGATAGAGCGTCGGCCTGCGGACTGAAGGGTCCCAGGTTCGATTCCAGTTGGGGGCATGGTTGCGGGCACATGCCCCAGTGGGAGGTATGCAGGAGGCAGGTGATCGATGTTTCTCTCTCATCGATGTTTCTAACTCTCTATTCCTCTCCCTTCCTCTCTGTAAAAAAAAAATCAATAAAATATAAAAAAAAGAATATCATAAGTCACCTTTCTTCACTGGAAGTTCTCTGATTATATTTATTGAGACAGTAACAGAAAAAGACCATGTGGATCTAAGATGGGAGTTAGAATAAAACTCTAGTCAAAAAAATTTCTCATCTGGGGGGGCTTCTATGGGTCACCTCCCCAAGTCACATGTGTTTCTAAGCTGCAAATTTGGTGGGAATGTGTTGGGAATGCTGCTCCAATACAATCTTGTGTGATAAACAGAGAACAAAACAATGCATCCAAGGTAACTTCACTGCACAACCATCAAGGCTTTAGTAAGCCTTAAAACTACAGGGGCTTCTGTGTAAATGTGTCTCGTGCACCATCTGCTGCCTCGAGAACAGCAGGGGCTGCCATCCACTACTCTGCAGACACGGTGTCAGCCAGAGACAAACACAGCGCACCAGAGAGAGGACCACTCTTGTCGGAGTGGGAGAAGAGCAGGTGAAGATGAAGCCTGCCGGTCAGGAATCCCTCCTCTAGGCAAGACCAGGCAGCGACTTGTCAGATAAGTGGAAAAGAGAAAGGAAATGGCCTTTCTAACAGACTCCCTTAAGTCAGAAAGAGGTCACTGCAGGGGACGAGAATCAACAAGTGCTGGGTGTATGACAACCAGCCTGGAAAACGAATCCCTGGGCCGAGGGTCATATGCAGTACCTTTCAGGCCTGAGCGGATGATAGTAGGAGACAAGTCATCGTAGTTGTTCATTAAGCTGATGTCCCCCGAGGTGAAGCTGACGGTGAGCAGGGGCTTGATATTCTGCACCGGGATGGGATATGCTGCTGGACCATCTGTGGGGACAGAAGTGCTGAGTGAAGAAGAGACAATGAGCACATGACCCAAACCCAGGGCCACAGCGCTGCAATCTTGTGGAGGGTCTTGAAAACGGCCTGGCCATGCGGATGGGGCTCTGCACTGGGTGCTGCTGAGCAAGCAGCCTTCTCCACCCTCCACACGACGTGGCCGCACAGGGTGCTCAGCAGAGAGCCGGGCAGTTACTTCCCAGGTGCTAAGGACCCTCTCCCTCAGACCTCCCCACCCTGAAACACTAGCACTGATCTTCATTTTTTTTATGTGTAAACACTGTCTTCTCCTAAAATAAACAAACACACATGCACGGAAATGTGTATGCATATTCTCTGGGAAGCATAATACACACATCTGGGAAAGGAAGAAGACAAAGTGAGAGTATTTTATGTGTAGGAAACCTATGCCAAACCTTTGCCAATCAACCTGACCAGCGACAGTGAGACAGGGGGTGGCAGAGAGAAGACAGTCAAATAAAGAACACAGATTGGGCCGAGGGGCCTTGCAATTCGTTTCGCGAACTCTTCCCAACAAGTGAGGGTGCCTGTGCCTGTGGCAGACCTTTCCCCTTCTGCCTCTAACGCAGTTCATTCCCTCCATACGCTGTCCCTGTGGAGCAGCGAGCTACCTTGGGGCGGGGAGTAGTCGTCCGAGTCCGTGTCGCTCTCGCTGCTGTCCTCCACCAGGAAGGCAGGGTAGTTCCAGGACATGCTGAGGATGCCGTCCGACTCGTGCAGGAGGACGTGCGCCAGCATCCTGCCATGGCAGTCCATGACGATCACCTGCCCATCGGCCGTGCCGAACAGCACCTGCAAGTGAGCACCAGGACTGCTGATGGACGGGAGGGAAGGCCTCCGTTCCCCACACACCTCATCACCTCAACTTGTTTAGAAGGACAAAGTACATTTGGAATAAAAACACAGACCAGCCGAAACCGGTTTGGCTCAGTGGATAGAGCGTCGGCCTGCGGACTGAAAGGTCCCAGGTTCGATTCCGGTCAAGGGCATGCACCTGGGTTGCGGGCACATCCCCGGTGGGGGATGTGCAGGAGGCGGCTGATCGATGTTTCTCTCTCATCGATGTTTCTGACTCTCTGTCTCTCTCCCTTCCTCTCTGTAAAAAATCAATAAAATATATTTAAAACAAAAAAACACAGACCAGGTAAGTAACTGAGGGGATACACAAAGCATGAAGTAGTGAAAATGTAGCTGACTGTTATTGCAAAAACTCGAGTCCTCTAATACTGAAATATGACCAGCAGCACAATAAACATATTCATTATATTGTATGGACATTATCAAATAATATGAGCAAATCCTGGTTTCACTTTTTTGTGGCTTGTTTTGTTTTCTTGGGTTGAAGAAAGAGGGTTATTCACTTATTTTTCTGGAAAATAAAGAAGTAGCAGAGGTTCATTGTTAAGAACTTATTAGATTTAGAAGACAAACTTAGGTGTACGTCTGACCTAGAGAAAATACACCTGGTTATGTAAGCATGTTATCTAATCATATTTGGAAAAGATGTTCCTGAAATAGTTTGTCTGTTTTATTTCACTGTGAATAAGAATAATTAATGTTATAAAGCATTAACGGTAATAATACCTTCACTAAGTGCTGACTTTGTGATAAGCACTATACTAAAAGCTGCACCTCATAACTGTCAGAACACTCCTGTGAGTAAAGTCCCAGCAATGCTGGAATGAAGCTGGGTGGACCTAGGGAATTCCCTCAGGTCCCCAGGTCTGGAAGCACACTTTCAGGGCCCTGCTGGGAGATGGGACAGGCACATGGCAGAGCTAGAGCACAGGCAGGCAGAGGATGGGGGGTGGGAGTGGTCCCCCCGCCCCCCATCAGAGCAGCGCTAGAGTATCTCACAGAGGTTGGCAGCTCCCTGACAGTGGTGCCATCCAGCCAGACGTCACGAGGGGAACCTGGGCCTGGGAAGCATGCTGATATCTTCTGGTCTGTGTGGTGGGCACAGCGAGCTCTACATCTCTTGCCATGAAAACTTTCTATCTTTTGTGTCTAATGAGATTTGTCTACCCCCGAGCAACTCATTGTGACAACCAGCAAACTATTTCCATTTTACAGGTGCAGAAACAATTGGAAGGGGTCAAGTTGACAAAGCTGTTAAGTGGTCAAGCCAAGGCTATCTGACTAGAAAGACCAGGATTTAATAAGGCTTTTTAAACTCTTGCCTCTTTTTGCTTTTGAGGTTATAACACTAAGCTTGGGGGCAAAGACTATTCACAGAGGTACCCTATTGTACCTAAAAGAGCTTTGGGTACAGTGGACAATCAACAAGTATTTTTTGTTAAATAAATAAATTAAAGTAAATGACAATCAAAAGATAATTTTAGCCCTAGCTGGTTTTGCTCGTGGGTAGAGCATAGGCCTACGGACTGAAGGGTCCTGGGTTCGATTCCAGTCAAGGGCACATGCCCAGGTTGTGGGCTCGATTCCCAGTAGGGGGGCATGTAGGAGACAGCCGATCAATGATTCTCTCTCATTATTGATGTTTCTGACTCTCTCCCTCTCCCTTCCTCTCTGAAATCAATAAAAACATATTTTTTTAAAAAGGTAATTTTAGGACATAAATGCTGATGATTGAGATGAATTGCACGGGATGATATAATTCATTTAAGTAGTAATAAGCTCACAGATTTCACAGGACTGTTAGGATAAATCAATTTCTACCAAATATTTCTTTAAACATGATCTACATTTTAATGACTGAAAGCTAAAAAAAAAAAAAGCTAAAACTTTTCCCTCAGAAGTGGATCAATTTATTAGTCCACGCCACTTAAAGAAAACCAGACAAAACCAACAGGAACCCTGGTGAACTCTAGAATGGCAGACGTTGAACATGTTTGTTGGTAAGCAGTTTCAAATGATGATACATACAGAACATGACTTCCTATAACTTTAACTAAAATGTACAATTTACATGTTTCAAGCGAAAAAGATATGTGGGGACCCTACTGTAAGGCAAATGTCACGGGTGACAAAGGTTTTTCTTCCCCTGCTTTGTACAGCCTCTCTCATTTTTCAAATCTGTTCTGAAGAGCATCTCTGTACCCTGGTGCTGGCTGAAGGGGTCATTGATCATTTATGACTTTTGTTTTTAATAACGATAGCTCATTAGCCAACAATTAATTACTCTTCACAAGGACGCAGGAGATCCCCGCCCTGTCTGTGGTGGACTCTGCCGTACCACCATGTTCCACTGGTGCAATCATCACTATTCTCAATCTTTCCTGTATGATTTTTCATACCTGACTCCCACACAGACTGTAAGCTTCTGAGGACTGGACCAGGCCCGCTCTGCTCACCGCCATCTTCCCGGGGCCTGTCATAGCAGGTGACCGCGGCAGTATTTGTGGAGGGAGGAAGAAAGGCCTCTGCACTGAAGCGTTTTTAAGTAACACACATCTTTCCATTTTAGAGAAACTGATGCCAGACAATAGAACAGACACCTAATTCCTGAGTGAAAGGACTGGTGGCCAGTGCTCAACATTACAGTAAGGCAACATGGAACAAAAAGCCCCCCACTCCCAAAGCTCCACCATCAGCCAGGTCCAAACACAGCCCTCTTGGGAAGATCATGCCCTATAAAATCTGCGAGAAGGAAAAACCAGCACGAATTGTCTAGTTGTCAAGCAATGATGCAGGGAGTTACTCTGTTTTGGAACAATGTCACAGATACAACATGAAATCAGATTTTTAAAAATCTCGCCTATTACACGTTCTTTTCATGCCTAACCACTTCCCATGAGACAGGCTATGTGAGGCCCGGACTTGAAGAGACCAAGACGGAAAGTCTAATAATAGCACCCCATGGCAAGGACACCAGTCTCCGCGCTTCTCCTCCCTCATTCGGGTGCTCTCTCCAGGGAGCCGGGCTGGCTCCTCCTGGGCTGGCTCCTCTTCCAGGCTTGGCCCGAGGCCCTCTTCTCTCTCTAGACCAGTCATGTCCATGGCTTCGAGGGCCCCACCCACACTAGCTCCCTGTCCAGGCCTCTCCCTAAGCTCTGGACTCACACATGCCCTTGCCGACCTGCTACTTGAATGAGCCAAAGGGCCTTCAGAGTCAACAAGTCCCAGACGAAATGTGTGATCTTGTCCTTTCCCAAACAACCAACACACACACAGCCAGGGCCTCTCCCAGAAAAGACTGCGGCTGATGTGCTATCTCCAATGTCCAGTAGGTGTCTGTCACATCACAAGTGCGCAGACACCACGTCTGAAAGCTTTTGGACCCATCACAGAATTAACCTCACTCTAATCATGGCCTCCACGGCAATGTGAGCTTGGCTCTGTTTTGCAAGCCTGTCTTGCCCATTACACCATGAGCTTCTCGAGGGCAAGTCTGCACCGAAATTTCTCATTTCCTGTCACGAGTGGATGCTCAGTGACGATTAGTAAATGAGTTTCTGCCCAAAGTTTGGTCTTTGCCAAATGAAGGAAGAACTCCTTTAATTTATTCTTTAGTCTATAAATCAATGCTCTGTTCAAATCTTCCAAAAACGCTTTTAATTACGAACTGATGATGAAATTATGTAAATTTGTCTCATATTTTCCCTGCTGGACTGCAGAGTTCATGCCTGGGTGAGGGACAAGCCCTCTGTAATGTGGACACCAAGAGCTAACAGGCTGGTAGAAACCTGAGGGTCCTCAGGCCATATCAGGTCAACAGCTCTCTCTCATTGCAGGGCAGTTTTTAAAATCAATGAAATTTTAAAGTAATTATAGTACCCATATAAATTCTCAGTTTCAATGTATTCCTTTCTCACAACACTAAGTTTGAGAAGAAAACAAATTGGCCATTTTTATTTTTTTTAAAAAAGGAAACATGAAACATATGACTAGAGGAAAGCAATTTAGTAAAAAAAAAAAAAAAAAGTGTCTCAAAATAAAAGTATGGTTCCATATTATACTGCTTAAAATGTTTCAGCATTGTATGGATTCTGCTGTACTTGGACAAGTTTTATATTTACAAAGGTTTTACCTCATAAGCATTATATTTAAAAATCAATTATCAACATCTGATCTTATTAGGCTATTATATATTGTTTTATCGTGAAATTAGAACACCAAAAATTATTTTGAAATTAGGTTTGAAAAAAATGACCAGAAGGCTCATCACCATAAAATCACAACCTGTCCGTGGCATTTGGATTCACTTCGTTCCAGTTCTTCATACTACACAGCGGGTTTCTCTTGGGTGTTTATGATGTGGTAATCATACCACATAGACCGTTCAAATCCGACTTTCCTCCTTACATTAGACCATAAGAGCTCTTCCAAATTATTACACCATCTTTATACCACAACCTACAATTTACAGCACTACTATGTAATACCTTAAGTGGTTACACCACAGTTTCCTTAACCATTTTATTTTGAGACTAGTAGGCTGATGTGCTATCTCCAATGGACAAAACACTGGTCATCTGAGATTGACCTGGAAAGTTGATAATAAATAATACTTCAATAAAGAACTGTTATTTTCTTCCTTTTGTTTCTTTCTTTTTTTTTTTGGTTAATCCTCACAAGAGGATATTTTTTCCATTGCTTTTTAGAGAGTGGAAGGAAGGGAGGAAGGGAGGGAGGGGGAGGTACTGGGGAAGGTGGGGGGAGAGGAAGAGAGAGAGAGAGAGAGAGAGACAGAGAGAAACATCCATGAGAGAGACACATCGAACCAGGGCCAGGGATCGAACCTACAACCTAGGTGCACGCCCTTGAGCAGGAATCAAACCCAAGACCTTTTGGTGTGCAGGCTAAAACTCTATTCACCAAGCAATATCGGCCAGGGCTTCTCTTGGTTTTTTTTAGATAAATTCCTAAAGTATACTGGTTGATAATTTTAATATTTTTTACATACTGTACACCAAAATGCTTCTTCAAATGTCTAATACACATTATTACTAGTAATGAATGAGAATACTTGATTGTACTCATCAATAATCAGTAAAATCATCTATATCAGTTTATTATTACTTTTGCTAAAAGTGAAAATATGTCATTATGCTATTTTGCATTTTTTCCAAGAATAATTTTCCACCACATGATTACTGACTAGTTGAACTTCTTTTGTAAATTACTGTTTATGTCCATTATCCATTTATTAATTGACTACTTACATAGATTTAAAACTAAATTTGGGTTAACATTTTCTGTAATTAAAATATTTACCCAATATTTACCATACTGGTGGGAAATATTTTTTCTCCACTCTATGGTTCATTTCAAATTTTTGTTTTAGTATTTACCTGGACACTGTCATTGTTCTTTTCCTTTGTGATTCTTTAAGAAGCTTTGGAGCAAACTCCCCTAGCCCAGCCCTTTTTCCTTGTGTGATAATTTTTTACTCATTTCCTCCTCATCTCTCATGGTTTTAACATTACACACCTATATTCAAGATGCATTACCTGTTGGTCATCAGGAGTCCATATGCCACATGTGATCTGACTTTCCAGGTTGATCTCAGATGACCAGTGTCTTTGTCCACTGACAGAACCGACCAGGACAAACCCATCTCGATATGAAATAAGCGCTTGAGTCCCATCGTGGCTCCACGTGAAATCACTCACCTTTGAGACACACACAGATAAAAGTGGTCAATTTGTAATCTTAAATGGAAAGCACTTTCATCAAAGACCTAGATGTAGTCCTTAACTTAGCCTTTGGCTAAGGTCAAGGTGGCTTTAAAGAGAACAACATAAATATCCTATATAATAAAAGGCTAATATGCAAATTGTCCCCTTGACCAGGAGTTCGACCAGGGAGAGGGGCCGGCTGGCCAACCTCCAGTGTCCCCTCCCCCTGGCTGGCCAGGCCCGATTGGAGCGGGCTGGCCGGACCCCACCCGTGCATGAGTTTGTGCACCTGGCCTCTAGTATATAATATGTGTATTACATTACATATATAATGTAAAAGACATCATTTGAAATATATGTGTCTGTGTGGTGCTGAGTGCTTCACAGACGATAATAAACTTCATAAACCACCTGTGGGAAGTATTATCATGCCCATTTTACAGAGAAAATAGGCACTGATGGGATAACCAAAATGGGCAAGACCTTTTGTAGACACATGGTTCCATTTCCTTTAGTAAACACCTAGCAGTAAAATTAATTGCTTGTTCATATGGTTAAGTGTATATTTAACTGCATAAGAAACTACCTAACTGTTTTCCAAGTGGTAACACCATTTATACCCCCATCAGCAGTATATGAGAGTACTAGCAGGTCCATACCTCACTAACACTTCGTGTTGTTGGTCTTTTTATTTTCGCTTTCCTAGTAGCTGTGCAGTGGTATGACACTGTGTTTTAATTTGCATTTCTCCAATGACATGATTTCACATACTTATTTGATCACTTGTACATCATCTTTTGGAACATGTCTGTTCAAATCCCTTGGCATATACATGTATTTATATATATGTATTCCTATTCACCTATTCACATATATCAGTAAGTTGGCCTTCCTATTGTGCTGTAAAAATTTTAAATACCGTCTTTATTAGAATTGTGTGCGGCAAAAATTCTCCACTCTGCGGTTTGCCTTTTTATTTTCTTAGCGGTATCTTCCAAAGAGTACATTTTCATAAAGTCCAACCAAGTCTGCAATAAAATTTGAAAGTCCTTTCATTTTGCAAAGATAATGCTTTTCTCTACATGCATTTTAACTCATTTATCTTGGAAAATACTTGTGCTAAAAGGAAAAACATCTTAAAAGAGGGCTAAACCATACAGTCCGAGCATATCAAACTTGCAGCCCACGGGCAGCATGTGGCCCATAACAAATATTTTTGCAGCCCAGCTAATATAATGGTATGTAAGAAATGTTTTAATAAAAATTTTGTAACTTGATTTTTACAATATCCTGTTATACATAATTATTAATATAATAAAAGCATAATATGCTAATTAGACCGGACAGCCAAACGACCTTCCGGATGTCCTTCTGGACGAAGTTGCCGCAGTGGGGGCTGAGGCAGAGGTGGTTAGGGGTGATCAGGCAGGCAGGCGAGCGGTTACAAGCCAGTGGTCTCAGATTGCGAGAGGGTGCAGACTGGGCTGAGGGACCCTCCCTCCTGTGCATGAATTTCGTGCACAGGGCCTCTAATTATTAATAATGAACTACACGTTCGCTAATGACTGATTACTATAATCATGTTGCATTAATTTCCCTGATGCGCAGGCGCACCGTTTCTCTTCACTAAGACCAGCAGCGAATATCCTAGCAGCCAATTGCCACGTCATTAGTCTTGGACTGACTCGTTTGGTGTGTGCAACAGGAAATATTTCACTTTTGGAGAACAAGAAAAATAGATTTGCATTAGACTTATTAATTTGTGCAGTTATTCAGTGCCTGGTTAAGTTAATGTTCAAGAAAAAATATTAATTTTTATTAAAATGTTCTATTATTTTATGTTAACGATTACTCATTTATTTCAGCCCTTTGTATTCAGCATGTCTCTAGTGAAATAATCCTACGTTTCTATGAAAATTGAAGCTTTTTTTTTGTGGCCACATAAACTTATTAACAAACCTTGTTTATTTGGCCCGTGTTAGCCTTTGAGTTTGACATGCTTGATATAGTCAGTGAAAAGAATCTTGTCCAAGACACCACCAACCTTATAATCACAAAAATGATCGAATAGGATATTTACATAAATTAATTGGTTTTATTAAATTAGGTGAGCACAGAGTGATAAGAATATGTCACAACTGGACAAATAAAAACAGGGGAACTCAGAACCAAATGCTGTGAAGAAAATAAGTAGAAAGGCTCTTCTACTGGTTGTCTTTCAGTTGCAGGGGTTACAGTGTTTTGCTTCACTAACGAGCGTTCTCAGACACGGATTAACGGAAGCTGAGCCGCAGCCCGCGTGGCCCATGCCTGAGGCAGCTTTTATCAGACCATCCTTGGTGCCTAATACTGTGAAACTATGCATACACTGTTCCAGACTCAACTTTGAAACAAAGGACTCAATCATTTCCTAAAAAAGAAATTATAAAGCATCAATCAGCTTTTGCCAGATGTTTGATTGCTTTGTCTCAATGAAAGGCATGCTATGTAATAAGGATCACCTGTCACTTCTAAAAAGTATTATTTTTCTATGAGCAGATTTCAAGGATATTCCTCTTCCAAGTCACAGAATTGTCCCTCCTCCTACCAGACACTGTTTCAGGTGTAGAGAGCCACCGCTCCTTCGGCCAGTGATTCATCATCACCAGAGTGCTATGTTCTTTACTTACATAAGATTTGACTTCAACACAAAAGCAGCCAAACCTCCCCAAAATGTAAGCATTTAATGATGACAACTGCTCAATGGGTTCTGAGATGTGTAGGATCAGAGCTCTACAAAGTAAAATTATATAAAAATGTAAATCAGATCACAAGATACAATGATTACTTTGGTAGAACCTAGCTGGCACAGGCCTCTGTGAGATTCTAGGTGCTCCAGATGTTCCATGGTGCATGTAAGCTCACTCAACCCCAGGTCATCCTAACTTACTTTTTTTTCTTTCTAACAGGCCATTTGCACCAAACTCTAAATGACAAGAAAAGCTGAGGAATATAGTGGTGGTAGAGCCCACACAGCTGCTGCATGGACATGACAGAAGGTTCCCTCCTCAGACAGGCTGCCCGTCAGGAGAAAGTGTACAAGGGCTTTGGTACAGAAGGCCACCAGGGCGAAAAGCCCCGGGCGCCTAGCACTTCCCACAGTTAGTTTTTTAGGTTCTAGTGCTTCTCAGAGGCAGGTACGTTAGTCCCTGTGTTACAGATGAGGAAACTGAGGTCCAGAGAAATATTCCCACTGAGAAGTCACTGAGTGAGATTCTTGGCTCATGTGGTCTGACTCTAGAGATCATGCTCCTGACAACATCCCCTGCAGGTGACACGAATTTCTCATAATCCTGAGATTTCTACATCTGCAGCTCTATTCAGAAGGCGAATTAGTCGTCACCCCTTCCTTTTCCACTCTTTGGAGGTACGCAGGAAACTGATATTGTTACTGAGTCCAGAGACCTTGGTTCTTGTCTTCTTGAAGGGAAGATTTTAGGCAAGAGAGAAAGTGTAGCAAAGCAAGCAAGAATTTATTGTCTGAAGCAAAAACACATTCAGGACAAGGAAGGGTAAGAAGCAGCAACAGAGCCTCTGCTGGGCTGCTGTGGCTCCCTGGGCAGTCAGAGAAAGGGGGGCCTTGGAGACAGGGAGGGGGCTTAGTCTGGGATGAGCCGCCGCTGCCCACTGCTCCCCTGGCTGTAAGTTTTATAGGTCCTCTCACACCTGTGGGGGAAGGTCAAGATGTGGGTGTGGTATGTTTCTCTCTTGCAGGCTGGAATCTTAGGGGAGGTCTTAATAGAATGTTCATCAGCTTTCCAAGTGTGCTCTTTCAGGGTCACGGTCTCCACTGATTGGTCGGTGCCAGTAGTCAGTGCAGCCGGTCCTGAGGCAGCGGTGGCCTCACTTGTGTGGTTTTGCGGCTTTACTGGGCCTGGAGCTGAAATCCAGCTGAGGCCTGGGTGTTATCCTTAGGGAGGAAAGGTCAGGGGTCTAACCTACATGACTAGTGATATGCGAGGGGAGGAAAGGTTACCCTGGGGGCAAGGTCCTTGTTCTCCCAGTTTTGCCCCTTGCTAGGCGCCCGGGGCTTTTTGCCCTGGTGACCTTCTGTACCAAAGCCCTTGTACCTGGCCCAAAGCCCTTGCTCTGCTCATATCTGTCTAACTGCCTATTATAATACTGGTAGCCCTGCACACAAATCTGTGCACCAGTAGGTCGCTGCGGCCCTGTAGCTCTCTGCCTGCAACCCTACCCTCCTGTAGCTCACCCCCTCCACCCCCACAGCTTGCTGCCCTGCCCCCTCTTATAGCTCCCCGCCACCCCACAGCTTGCTGCCCTGCCCCCTCCTGTAGCCCCCCCCCGACCCCCACAGCTTGCTGCCCTGCCCCCTCCTGTAGCTCCCTGACCCCCCACCCCCACAGCTTGCTGCCCTGCTCCCTCCTGTAGCTCCCCCCGAACCCCACAGCTTGCTGCCCTGCGCCCTCCTGTAGCTCCCCCCGACCCCCACAGCTTGCTGCCCTGCGCCCTCCTGTAGCTCCCCCCGAACCCCACAGCTTGCTGCCCTGCGCCCTCCTGTAGCTCCCCCCCCCGAACCCCACAGCTTGCTGCCCTGCGCCCTCCTGTAGCTCCCCCCCCACCCCCACAGCTTGCTGCCCTGCGCCCTCCTGTAGCTCCCCCCCCACCCCCACAGCTTGCTGCCCTGCCCCCTCCTGTAGCTCCCCCCCCACCCCCACAGCTTGCTGCCCTGCCCCCTCCTGTAGCTCCCCCCGAACCCCACAGCTTGCTGCCCTGCGCCCTCCTGTAGCTCCCCCCCCACCCCCACAGCTTGCTGCCCTGCGCCCTCCTGTAGCTCCCCCCGAACCCCACAGCTTGCTGCCCTGCCCCCTCTTGTAGCTCCCCCCCAACCCCACAGCTTGCTGCCCTGCGCCCTCCTGCGGTCTCCGCAGACCGCTTGTACCTTGCTGGCCCACCCTCCTGCTGATCAGTGATCTGGTCTGTGATGTGCTTGGCCATTAACATATTCCTCTCTTATTATATAGGATGGCCTTTTCAGAGTTAGTCAAAACTATTACATTTACCCTAACAAATAAAGTCACAAAGAAAGAAAATTTGATTTTTACCCAGAAGTAGATTTGTCTTCTGTGATGACATCTTATAAAGATCCTCTAATAAGGATCTGCTAATAGTAACTGCGAAAATATCTTCACTCCTTTCAATTTTATGCCACGTCGCTGATCTCTTTATCTTTCAAACTTGGGGAGCTCACAGGGAAACCCACCCTAGGAGAGGAGAATAGACTAAGAAACCCCCCATCCACAAAGGACCCCTGAGGATTCGGTTCTGAAGCCCTAGTTCTGTTAAGTCCCTGGGATGGCACCTGTGTGCTGTGCTGCCCATCCTCCTGTGGGAGGAGCAGAGCTGTCCCACAAGCCAGAAGAATCTATGAAGCGGTTCAAAAATAGCACCGCTCAGCAGGGCAGCCCGGAGCAGTTGTTTTCCTCTGGGGGAGACACAGTTATATCAGAAAGGAAGAGCTGAGGGAGGACAACAGCTGGCCACATTCATTGCAACCTGAGAAGAAAGTGTTGACAGCTCAGTGTGGTGAGGGGGTTGTGAGAAACAGTCATGTGGAGCTCCCTGTGAGACAACCAGGTGACAGCACAGGGAAACACCTTGTGAAAGGGAGCAAAAAAGTGATATGCCGGAGTGCCTCAGGGCCCAGATTCGGCATGCAATCACACACTGAATGTGAAAAGTGATTTCACAGATTTAATTCAAGCCTGAAAACTCAGAGCGTTCTCACAAGAGCAGCACAGCTGAAGTGATATATGCACGAAGCATGAAAAGCAGGGTTCTAGTTTTATTTATTTCTACTCCACCCATTTCTGGAAAGAGTTCCCATTTGCCCTGGAACACATGACCTGTGTTGTCTCTCCAGCAGTCTTCCACTGGAAGAGGGTCCAGCCCACTCACCTGAGCCCCTCGGTCGTTGACCAGTTCCACAGACCATCTCCCTTCATACTGAATCCACACAAAGATCCCTCCATCTGCGTCACACGTGGCCAGCTTCTGGTATGGCTCATTCCACCTTACCAGCACAACCTAGAAAACAACCAAGATGATATTTACCACAAGGAATGAACCAGTGGGCCAGGATTACGCCTACAAAGAGATCAAACTTCAAAACTAAGCAGAATGCATGGTCAAAGGAAAAGCCTGGGGAGGATGTGGGGATTAGTGGAGGGGACAGGCCACAGTCCACACACGGCAGTCACAGGGAACCAGACCCACAGAAGGGCTTCCTGAGAAACAGCAGGCACCGGAGCAAATGACAAAGTACAGCATGGAAATACCCACTGGTGTAAAAACAGAGGCCCAGAGGCCATCTGTACTCTGTCTTGCCTTTCACAGGTGCAAGGATCTTTCACCTGACAGTACTGTATGATGGAAAAACAATTTTCACAGAATATATTGTGTATTTGAATCAGAGTATTATTTTTTAGTGCAGTAAGAGGCATGGATGAGACCTATTTAATTTCATTTTCCTCCCAATGTGAAATTCTCCATATATTTTCTAGATTCTTATTTTCAAATAGTTCAGCATCTAAACATGGCCAATTTGGTAATGACATTCATCTTTCTCAACTCTCACTCCATCTAAAAGGCAGACCCTCTGGAAGGTGGTCTGTGGAATTAGGTGAATGTCTGAGGGCAGCCATCAGAGAGTCCAGTGAAACCTCTAAGGACACAGGGCTATGAAGTGAGCCCAGGAGCCCAGGAGCCCCAAAACGCCTCCCCACTTTCACTGTGTGGATGTGCTGAGTGTCACCTGACTGGCCCATGCTGGTGATAATGCCGAATTAAGTCCATCGGTCAGACATTCAGCGTCTACTTAAGGTTCCTGCTGTGTGATGCTGTAACCAATACGAAGCTGGAGACCAGGCCCCGCTCTTAGGAAAAGTCCAGCTGGGAGCCAGAACATCCACAAATATGTGCCTATATACTGAGGTGTGTCTGTCAAACTAGGACTATCACTAACTGGCAAGACCACGCCTGATGTCCATAAGAAAGCTTTGGATCCCGTCTCCTCCCAGGGCTTTGTGCCTAATAAATGAACTACCCTCATGAACACGTGGCCCCTGTGTAAATGGTCTCCAAATTCTACTGTGTACAGTTGACCCTTGCTAAGGGCACTGACCCCACTCACATAAAAAAATCCACCTACACCTTTTAATTCCCCCCAAACTTAACTACAGCTATCCACCAGCTTCTATGAGGGACTGGTTCCAGGACTGCTGTAAATACCAAAATCCGAGGATGCTCAAGGCCGCCATATAAAACGGCATAGATCAATGCGTGCAATTGGCCATCTGCACCTGCAGTTGGTGGATGTAAAACCTGGGGGACACAGAGGGCTGACTATATATTTATTGAAAAACAGTCACATATAAGTGGACCCATGCAGTTCAAACCCATGGTGTTTGAGGGTCAACTGTACAATGACAGATTGTCAAGGACCTCCTCACGCCCATCTGTGTCCAAAACACAGACCAATGCAGAAGCCCAGTCACTTCTCCAAGTTGTATAATGGGCACACCTGATTTTAGTCCTTAAGGTTGTTTTCAAGGCACCAGAAAGCTAGAAGCGGTCCCCGTAACTAATGGCATTAGCATTAGTTATAAAATTCATTAAAAAAAGATGCATAATAAAATCCTCAAATATTCCAAGAGGAAATTCTTACCCACTCAAAATGTAAGGATGCTGTTGCTTTAAAAACAAAACAAACAAAACAAAAAAACTCTGGCCCAGCTAACGTGGCTCAGTGGTTGACCCTCAACCTATGAACCAGGAGGTCACAGTTCAATTCCCGGTCAGGGCACATGCCCGGGTTGCAGGCTCAATCCCCAGCGTGAGACTTTCAGGAGGCAGGCAACCAATGATTCTCTCTTATCATTGATGTTTCTATCTCTCTTTCCCTCTCCCTTTCTCTCTGAAATCAATAAAAATATACATATTTTTAAAAATTCAAAAATCAAAGAGAGCTGTGAGGTTGCAATTTCCAGACATGGCAATCACTAGTCAAATCTAACTTAGCTGATGGTTCCCACGCCAAAGGCAACTTCCAAGGATGCAGACACCGACAGCTCCCAGCAGCCCCGGTCAGCCACCCCTCTGCTGAGCGCCTGCCACACTCTGGTCCCAGCTCTGCATGTGCAGCGCTCACACCACCGCTGTATGAGTGGTACCTCTCACTGCACAGATGCCCTCCCTACTGAGTTGTGCTGCCTGAGGAAAGGGACGGAATACTGACACACAGTAATTTTGAATATATTGTGCCAAAGAGTAATACTTAATTAGAAGTTATGATCCTTATTCAGTTATATCTTTGAACTATATAAGGTTATTGAAAGCTATTTCTAGCAGGTTATTTTTAACTCCCAAAGGCATTTTAACAACAGCCAACACTGCCTGCCTGCCTGCCTATTACAAACTGTTGGGTGCTAAGCCATCTTTGTCCTTGTCGAGTTCAGTTCAGTAAATGGACACAGTCTAGTGCTCTATCTGCAATTAGAGAGCCGTGAACACACACAAGACCCTCGACACAGGTGGATGGGGGGCAACAAATCCAGGTTCATTTATTTAATTCTAGTTTTTTAAATTCTCTATTTAAATTACTGATCTAATTTTTTAAAAACAGTAAAACCAAAACAGCAACAAAAGTCTTTAAATGCACTGAATGTGTCATAAAATTTAGAATTTCCAAATGGTCCATAAAAGTCAACTTTATAAAGTTCTTTCAGGCTTAGTGATGCTTTGGCCTGAGCCTTGCAATCCACGAAAGTGCCCGTTGCTACTATGTGGCTCCTACAGCCACAAGCTCGCCTGTGAGCCCACAATCACTGACGGCCTCTAGAATGGCTGCCACGGGACAGAATATGACCAATAACATGATATTCATTGCTGACCATGAGTAAGTTAACACATGAACTATAAAAGGTTACTGAAAGCTATTCATGTACTATGACCTTCCTTATGAAATAGTATCTGATGACAAGGTGTCATATTTATGAGCATAAGTGCTAGTCACATTCTCTATACTTTTGCCTTTTTGCTTTAACATCCAGGTATGGTTGCATATTTGGTTCACATCAGTAATCAAACTCTTCTTTATGAAAACAGCCAGCACGGCCACAGCATGACACAAACACTAAAGAGAAAAGGTAAGATATGTTTTAAAGTCATTTCTAACTTCACAGATTTCTTGGTCTGATGAGAACACAGTGGTAGCTGTAAGATCAACAGCAAGTTCACAGGCTCCAGCGCACCCTTTTGCAATTCCTGACCAGCTGAGATGCAGCTATAAATGGAAACGTAGTCCCCCCACACATACTTCTTTGCTGTGAGTTCTAACCAATAAAACGGAGTAAGTGGATAGCTCCCCTAAATTAGGGAAAGAAAGCTTTCCAATGATTCTGGGTTTAAAAATAAAGTCAAACTGCTAATGTTTCCCTGGATTCATATTCTCATTTCCTCTCTCGTCTGGTCTACAGTTCGTCTTATCTCCCAGAAGTTTATTTCCTGTTCTCCGAATCCTTCCAGTCTATTTGGCAACATCAAGACATACCAGAGTGTTGAGGAATTACCAAGCAGCAGGCCAGCTGGGTTCTCAGTCGCCCAAATTATGCGGCAGAATGCAGGGTGCCCGGGCATTCTAAGGCAGAACTTTCCTTCCCTTTTAAAGGAAAACGGGGCTCAGGGTGACTCTGGGCACAGAAGGACCTCAGTGTTCAGGGTGTTAGCTGAAGTGCGTGATCTTCTACTAAAAAGGCAGATGAGAAGCTAAGCTTTGACCTTGGGCTTTGATTATTCAGAAGCTGCCAGCCTGTTACCCTCTCTAGTGCAAGATGTTCTAGCATGCTATAGGCATTGTTACCAATAAGTATTGATCAGGACCATTAAAAGTAGAGAAACCTGTACTAAAAACATAGGGCAGGGCAGCTGGAAGTCTATCTGGGCTGTAATCCAATGCCCTAAATAAGTCACTTCACTTCCGACACCTAGAACTATTTTTAGAAAAAACTGTCAGTTAACCCAACTCAAGGATAGTCATCTTTTCAAGCAAGAACCCTTCAAATGGTGTTGATAAATATGAATATCATTTATATTTTATAGAAATATATGGGAAACCACCTCAGTGAACAACTAGTATCCTCAATATTCATAAATATTTTCCTCAACTTGAAGAGAATGTAATTCGAATGAATGCTAAATACAAATAGTTCAAGTAGTGAATCCTTGTAAGTGGTTATTAGCACTTAGTTATTCTTATTCTGTGATTTATTAAGTGAAACAGCAATAAATGCAACTGTACAAGAAAAACAAGATGAGTACCAATTTAATTTTAGATATATTTAGTATTAAACAAAGAGCCAATAGCATCTTTAAAAAGATTGGAAGAAAGTCAGTGTGAACAGTGGTTTCCGGACTCGTGCCCACGGCAGGAACAGGAAGGTCTGTGAAATGGTGTGGCTGCGGGCAATCGCTGGCTCACTCAGCGCCCCTCTCCTGGTCTGCCAGGGATGGGGAACAGCAGCGCATCTCTTAGGCCTAGCGTCTAGGCCGTGGGCAAACTACAGCCCGCGGGCCGGATCCGGCCCGTTTGAAATGAATAAAACTAAAAAAAAAAAAAAGACCGTAGCCTTTTATGTAATGATGTTTACTTTGAATTTATATTAGTTCACACAAACACTCCATCCATGCTTTTGTTCCGGCCCTCCGGTCCAGTTTAAGAACCCATTGTGGCCCTCAAGTCAGAAAGTTTGCCCACCCCTGGTCTAGGCTGTGAGGAGTATGAGAAATGACCTCAGAACAATGCCAGCAAACGTTCAATCAGTGAAGCTCTGTACTATTTATTTGTGAGCTACATGTCCAGAATATAAATCCAATTCAGCACAATATTCACATCTATGGTTTCCTCTTCTGATAAATGGTTTGAAAGGTGGTCCCTTTTTCCAGACACACTTCCTGTCACATGCACTCCCCACCCACTCTGGACCTTAAAAATCAACATCCCCCACACATTTTCTGCCACCCTTGGCTCA